ATTTATAATTGAGGCATAAACCAAGAAAATAATCAGACTGCCCTTGCCTGGCTGTGTGTTCCCACATGGTTTTGCTGGGACAGGGAGGTCCCTCTCCCAGGGACTTGCGGGGACAGGAGAAATACAACCGAGGGGTTTGATTAAGCGTTGTGGGAGGATATGAAAAGCTGCAAGTGATGAATGGGTTTTATTTACCATTGCTTGTGTTTCCCAATGCTTGTAAGCATTGTACAGCCCCTGGGAGTCCGAAACAAAATCCCTGAGGATTTGTGCTCTGGAGCCTTTTTTTTTTTTTAACTCTTCTTCTCTCTGATGGACATAAATTTCCTCTAGCTGCTTGGATGAGTTGGATGGGAGAATTTAGGGCTGGCCCTCGCTGGCAGCAGACATCCCACGCACCCTTTTGCTGGTTGAAAAAGACAACTCAGAAGTTCCTTACTATAAATTGGATGGGTTGGGGGCAGACTACAGCAGTGGCTTTCCAGGGGCTTCCCAAAATGTTGCCGACAGATGGAGGTTCACGTCTTCAGCTGCAAAATGCCAGTTTTGGATTGGCTCAAGGCTGCCGAGCTGCTACCGGGAGGAGTTGGAGAGGTGGGGAATGGCAGCAGACATCTGATGCCCCTATTCTGTTTTGCTGTGCATTTGGATATTTAACTTTCTCTTAAAACAAAACAAAACAAAGCAACAGGATATCTCCTTCCTGGTGCAACACTGTATGCTTAGTGACTTAAAATATAATAATCTGGGTATCTGCATGGCCATAGTGATTATCACTGCTTCTAATCGTGACGCTTTGGTTTTGCAAAGTTTTCTTTCTTGATTCGTGCTCAAGGTAGCTGGGGAGCAGAGACGAGGTGGGCAGCATGCCCCAATGGGGAGGAAAACACGTGCCAAGGGAAGGATGCAGGAAGGATATGCCTGTGCAAGCCTCTGCATGCTTCCTCCTGCAGTGTCTGGACGGGAAGCGAGGCAACAATTCTCAAATAAGGTCATCTGCAGGGTGGTTTTCTCCATAGCTGTCACCACAGGGGATCCTTGACTTTGGGTGCCACCAAATTACAAATAGCATTGCCAATGCAAATTGTGATATATATAGTGCAATTGTTATTGCAATATCACTGCAAACATTTTATTTTTATATCTATCTATCTATCTATATATATATATCATATTGTGACTTCCCAGTGGGTCTGCATGCTTTATTCATTCCTTGATATGCAAAGGTCTTTGGATTTATGTTATGCACACAACTGCTCTTGCACACAGTAAGAGCAACTAGTCGATGATCATGTACCTCCATGCAAACCCAGTGCATTTAAATCCCCCAGCAAAAAGCTCAGAAAGTGGCAGACTAGAGACCTCCCGAGGCAGCGGTGGTTTCTGTACTTCGCTGAACGCCAGCCAGAGAGAAGAGGCAATTTTCTAACTTTAAATGACCCGCAAGCAGTAACTCCCAAGCAGTTTCCCCCTCGCTCGGTGGTGATTACCACCATGGGGAGGAGAAGTCAGGGAGAAAAGCAGCTTTTTAATTTTTTTAGACTCATACTTGATACATTTTTGTTAACATGCTCCTCTGCAATAACACCTTCCTTCATATTGCAATGCAATAAAATCAGCACTCACGTTAGAAGTCTCTTTACTTCTGGAAAACATGGTGCCCTTGGTGCTGGGGATATTGAATGCATCTATATTCCTGACAGCTTTTTCTGTTTTCATTAAGCGAAAGAGGATATTTAGAGGCGAGCTGGAATGGAAGTTGGTTCATAACTCAGAGGAGAGTGAAGGCTGTGGGATGCAGACTGCTGATTGAGGACTTGGGGTAATTTTATTCTGTTCAAGAAATCCCCGGTTTAACTGGGGTGCTGCGTCCTGCAGTACCTTGGACGTCACATCGCCGTTGGGAGGAGAGGAGCCAGAGGGATGATGTCCCTGAACCTGGCTGGTTTTGCAGAATTGGGTTCATTTGCATTTAATTTATTGTAAACACAAATCTTTTCTGAATTACTGTTTGGTTTAGGGAGGAAAAAATGACACGCTTGCCTTAGAATTTGTCATTTCAAATGGTTTTGCTTCCTTGGTTCTTTCACTGTATCAGCAGTGGGATTTTAATCCGCCTAGTGATGACATGCTAATAGAAGTAAATAATGCTAAAGCTTGACATACATTTAAATATTATTTTAAAATTTTTAAATCCTTAAAGGCTCTACTCTTGAATATGGATTAGCACAATCTTATTATCTGGATCCATGTGGGAGCGGTTGCTCTGGGCTCGCCAGTTTGTGGAGAGACAGAGCCATCTCCAAGCATCGTCCAACCAGCCTTGGCCTCCTGCACCCCTGCCTGGAGGTTTCTGCAATTTTGGGGGACCAAAGAGCAGACAGATAGGGGATAGGAGAGCAGGACCCCGGCTGGCATTTACATGACAAAGTCTTTGGTTTTATTATTTTTGCTTTGCTGCCAAAAGCAAGCTCCGATTGCACGGCCCAGTTTTGGTCCTGCACACGATCTTGGGGAGCGAATGCACCTCGCACAGTCAGAGTCAGGGTTGAATGCTGTCTCCATATGCAGGCTGAAATAATTTCGTAGAGTATTTGGGGAGGAGTTGCCTGCTGAGAGGGATATATAATACGCAGCGCAGCAGTGAATATTTTGAGGGCAGCGGGGAGCTACACAGATACATACATAAAAGTTACTGGGGCTGTAAGATAACCTGATTTCAGACCATTTGGATAACAAAAGGAGATGCTGAGATGTTTCAAGACTTCAGTTTTTCTTTCAGCATCTGCAGTCATCTTTCCCAGCACAGAACCCTCACGGCACAAATCCAGCATTTCTATAATTCTGCAGTCAGGAAAGCCCTGCTAGCTGTAACCACACAGCAGCCTCCAGCACCTTGTCTGTTCGTTTGGTGATTAATCCTGTTATCAGTAATTAGGTGGAACCTCAGATAAGCAGGATGCTCTTTGAGGATCAGTGGGTGCAATTAGGAAAGTGGGAACGTGGCAAACTCCAACTGAGGACTTCAAGGAAGGACTCTCCACGTTGGGAGAGCAGCTCAGAGGATGTGGTCTTCTGCTTCTTCTGACTTGTTGAAGGGGATCCACCTCCAGGTGAATTTGGGAGGGAAAAATAAATATTGAGCTGTTTCAGGGAGGCTTCAGTGCAAGGCAGAAGCTGCTCGTGCGGGTGGTGGGGTATTTCCCTGTCTCTGAAAGGCAAATTAATAAACCCCAGTGATGTTTGTGTTTGCCTGTTTGCTTTCAGCTCGCTGGGTGACACGTAATCTGATTTGCTTTTTCCCTGTGGAGTTTTCACCTTCGTTTTCTGCAGTCTCCTCTGGACAAACGCTTTTCCCTTTCCACTGTGGGGTAAAATGGTCCCAAATTTAAGATGCGTTACAACCCTTTGCTCTTATCCCCATTTATCTTTCTTTTAATGTTCCCACTTTCCAGACTATTTAATGGATCAGTTAGGAACCAGAGAAATGATTAATAACATTTTTCAGCTCCAGAACCAATGCACTGCAACAGTGCAGGAGATTCCAGCTGATGGATGGTACAGGTGCAACTGGGTTATTTATTGACTCTTCGTTGCAAGGGATGGTTATGCAGAAAAACATGTCAGCTACTAGCCTCAAAATTGAGTGGAAAATCCCCGAGGCTCAAGATGGTCTCGTCCTTCTTTATCCCATCTCATGCATTGAAAATACCTACAAAACTGCAGTGTTTGTGTACCAGTGCTGACTCCAAAGCATCTGAGGGCTCATAGGGAATAAACCTTATTTCTACAGATCAGTAGTCAAGGTGGATAAAGGGTTAGTTGGTACGAAAGATGCAGTTTGTGCTGAAAACGCTCTGATTGCCACCGTGCCCCTCATCACTGTCTGGTCTGCAAATAGCTCCTTGCGAGGGCTTATCGCCTAATGTTCGCAGCCACCAAAGCGTAGCACTGCAAAGGAAACATCAGGTGAAATCAAAGCAATGTGCTTGAAATCTTGCGCTGATGAAAATGGGTTTTCCGCCCCCCCACCCTTCTCCTAAAGATTGCAAGCGTACTTTTTTAATTCCCTGACAGCCAGCAGGGAAATGGGAAATTACCTGTGTGGCACCCTGCTTGCAACAATATATTAATTTTAACAAGAGCCCGGACCTCTGCCTCTCTCTTTGCAATGCTTGTAGTGATGTCCAACTAATCTGCGTCCCCCTGCCAGGTCTGATGTGGAAAGTCGTGAGATGGATGTGGCCATTAATGAGTTTAGCAACGAGCCTGTTGCTTTGGCAGAAGATTTTACTAGATCTTGTCCTCACTTGTCTCACGGCCAGGCTTGGAAATTCAAGTGGCAGCAACCCTTGCAGGACAAGACTTCCAGGAAGGGTTTGCAGCACTCTAGTGGTTTTAATACTCATATTTTGCAGGTGATCGGCCTCGTGATGGCTTGGCTGTATTGGCAAAAGCTCAACGAGATCTACTCCAAGCTGGACGCTGTTGACTTCAAGCTCCTGGAGATGCGGGATTTCAGCTTTGGGGCGGTGGATCTGAGCGGCGCGGGCTGGTGCTGGTGCTTGCCCAAGGAAGGAGGCTACATTCCCATCAATGTGGAGGATGAGGAAGACGAGGAGGAAGGTGCAATCTGCCATAGCAGAGTGTGAGACGGCGGAGGACTGAAAGGCAGCTTGGAGCAAAGCTCTTAGGGAGGCAGCAGATGCTGAATGTGGAAATAATGTGATTTATCTTCTCAGGTCCAGGAGATACTTTGGGGGAAACTGTAAAGTAACACTGGAAGGTTATAAAAAATGCAACGCGCTGTGCAGGCACGTGAGCTCCCTGGGGTCCTTTTACTACCTTGGTGTTTTGAAGCATTTGTATATCTCCTTATTGGGTTTTGAGGGTTTTTTTACGGAATAAATATGATTTCTGTTGTGTTTTGCAAAGTCACTTCCACTCATTGCACACCAGTCATGACGTCGGGGAGGGAAGTGGCACTGCTCTCATTGCACGTTGGCGTATCTCTATAGTTATATTTAGCCTGATCTCCTGGAAAACAGTGGCTTTAGGGTAGATCCTCAGGTGTGCCCATGCCCCAGAAAGACATAGCTAAAGGAAAAAAAAGGAGCAGCTTGCTCTGCAGAGCCTTTCCAAATGGCTTTTTCAAGAATCAGATCCCCAGGGAGGCACAACTTGCACCTCCTGGAGCAAGATGGATGTTTGAACAAGGCTTGCACAAGAGGAAAACACCCATTTCTGAAGGTTTCCAGCTCTTCCCCATGAACTACGGCTTCAGTTTTTATCCCCAGGCAAAGAAAAGGAGAGCTGAGCAATTTTTTAAAAAAAGACAGCTTTACTGGGGCAACATGCTACCCCAGGGGATGGTGGTAACTTCCCTCTGCTGGAGTCCGACCTGTAATAATCAGGTAAGGAATTACCTTTTCTAATATTTCTTTTTAGCACAACTTGGTGATCAAGGCAGCAATTCCCTCCCTCATCACTTGGGATATAAGAATTAAATAGCCAGCGTGTGTTGCATCCGGCCCTTGACCAGTAAGTTGAGCCGTGCTGGGAAACAGGCTCACAGAAAGAAACCTCAAGCAGATGAATTGCAAAAATACGAGTGTGTTTTTATATTAAAAAAAAAAAAAAAAAACAAACCAAAACAAAACAAAACTAACAAACAGTTGAAACCCTCTGCAAAGGTCCCCAGGCTGCTCTGCTGTGGGCTCAGCAATAACCTATTGATGGCAAAGCTTCCCCCAGCAGCCATAAGTCAAATGCAGAGGAGGGAGCGTAGATCAGGGACCTGTTTTCTCTCCAAATATGCCAAAATCCCGCGGGTACCCTGGGGCAGCTCTAGCTGCTGCATCTATCAAGTGAGAGGAATCGTCTCAAAAGCAAAATGCAGAGAAAAAAAAAAAAAAAAAAAAAGAGAAATGTGTCTGCAGCGCCGCTCGGTGAAGGAAACTTTAGGTTTATTAGTGGTGCTTTTTATTAATAAGGGTGTTTTGGAAGCTGGAGGCTGGCTTTATTTATTTGGATGCCCAAGCAGGGAAAGGTGGGTGAGTGCTGGTGTGTGACTGCTGGGCTCTGTCTCCCTCTTCTGACTGTTTCCAGGATTTATTTTTTAACTAAATAAGAAGCAATGCCTGCACAGGCCTGAAAAAACACTTTTGAATCGTTGGTTGGTTGGTTGGTTGGTTGTTTTTTTTTGTCTGCAAATCACATTGAAAATAGAGCTGTGTACTATAAGAGCTGAGCAGTGGGGTCACTGACATTTTTTAAAACAGGATGGCCAAAATTGGGATGGGTTTTTTTGCAAGTGGAGAAGGTAAAACCCGCAGCCCAGGGAAATTGTGTGAGCACGATTATTTAAGGAATAACAGGGTTGCTGCCTTATACAGGCAGCTCTTGGGCTTCAGGGATTTTGCTTTTCCTCCTTTTTCCCTCTCTCTCCAAGAGGTGTTCAGTAAAGCCTGATGAAATACAAGCTGCTAAGTTCAACCTGCCCTATATATTTCTATGTATTTGGAGACAGAAAGTTAATTACTTTTATTTTCTCTTTATTTACAGGGGAAGCAGCCACCGACATCTTTATACCATTTTTCTGGCTGCTCAGAGCCCGTTGATGCTGGACAGCAGCACAGGCAGCACTGAACAGGTTGGAATCAAGCAGATTTTTGTGCTGGATTAATTCTGTTTTTCAGCAGGGGATGAGCAATGGGAGATGGGGAGACGTCAATTCATGCATCAGCTCGGCCACCCGGCTCCCCTTTTCCCACAGACAGCTGGTCTACAAATGCCTGGGAAACAGGAAAGGTAGATTTAAGCAAGAGCTTGAAATCATAAGTGCACCTTGAAAAAGCTTTTCTCCCCACTTACAAGCATGCCTTGTAACTCTAAATAAAGGGGATGCCAATAACATTCCCTAATTCACCCTAAATTTTGCATTTTGAAATTGTTGCTGCCTTGCTCCAGACCTGACCCGGCTACATGTGGAAGAGCAAATCTAATTAAGCAGTAGCTGGGAAGAAAATGGGACCAGGGATAAAGTATCAAACAGGTATTTTTTTGCTTCTACTGAGACTCCGGATTGTGCCATTGAATAATCTCCCCAGAGGCAAGAGAAAAGCCCAGATATTGGATGACCTTAAGTCTGATTTCCAGTCCTCGTTTTTTTAGTTTAATGATGAGACTGGTTGTGACGGAGTGCTGGATGCTGCTTGGATGCAGATTTATTGATACCCCTGTTAAAAGCTAAGCGGAGGCAAGCAAGCCAGGCATTAAATAGAAGCAGAGAGCTCAGGAAGCGAAACAGGCATATTCGTGTGACCGAGAGCTTGGTTTTCATGATATCAAATTTATGGATGCTCAACATGTTAAAAGCAAAATGGGAAATTGCAAAAATGATTTGGTATGCAACCCTCATCAATCCCCCCCCCAACTGTATTTGATGGCCCAGGGGCTGATCCTGTCGTCCCCAAGGGTTCTAGGAGCTTTCTCACTGCTGGTGATACTTCTCTGCACCTTTCTGCAGAATTTCCTTCTATTTCTTAAGATCAGGTGTAGATGATACTGCACAGACCAAAAAAATAAAAGCAGTTTCCCTCCAAAATCAACAGCAATCGAGCCAAAACTGATGCAAAAAAAAACCCCTGGCAACCCCATGAGATGCAGATTATGCAAGTTGGAGATGGACAACTTGAATTCTCCTGCGTCCCGTTGGTCTGCTATCTAGAGACCATCACTGCACAAGACCAGGTCTCTGCTGACTGGAATGTCCATCCTTTCCAGAGGTCTGTTTGCATCCCGTGATGCCTCTCTGCTCCCAAAGTCAATCAGCATCACCCAAAATACATTTTAAGCTGGGAGCTACAGAGCGTTTGGCAGTAGGCGTCAATACGATGGTTGCAAGAGCTGCTTTATCTCAAGTCAGTCTGGGCTCCTGCACCCACCAGTGCCCGTGACTTTACTCTGTGGCCCCATCCTCCAGTTCCTGGGCGTTTTGGGGGAGCTCAAGGTGAGTCAGTTAACGGTAAAGTTTGTTTATGTGGAACTGAGAGCTGGTGGGGGGTTAGTGGGGCTTAATTGGCAAAGGTAGCAGTGCTGCTCCTCTTTTCCTCTCTTTATTTCTAGTGCATTTACAGTTGTGTATTCCAGCAGTTCTAGTCTGTGTTATGCTTGTGATTGTATGCAAGGATTTTGGTGGAAAAAGCTTTATATGTAAAAAAAAAGAGGAAAAAATCCTAAGCTATATGACTTTCATAAATCAGCCATAATCAGTCAGGACCTTTCATTTATCAGTGGAGCTAATGAAGTGTGGGTTTATCAGAAGATGAGTTATTTTTGCTGCCCAAAAGAGCTGTGGTAGAGCTCTCACCAGCCAAACTAGATTGCAAAAAAAAAGTCATATTTCTTCCCAATATAGACCCAGCTGAAGGCTTGTGTATCCCCATCCATCATCTGGGGACCCTGACCTAGTGCTGAAGCTCATGGGGAAAATCTCACAGGGGGTTTGTGACACTTCATCTGTTAGAAGGTACCAGCTCATTTTTAGAGCAAAATTATTTATGCCTGCAGCTGGGTGGGTATTTCACTGTTTCTCCTGCCAGCGCCAGCTTCCTAAAATCCTCAGAATTAGCCCCATAACGTTACTCCTAGGAACCCAAGGCTTGTGACTGATTTTACCTCTTAATATACCCAGGTTTGGGGCATGGTTGTCCATCCAGAGGTGTTTGCCCCTAAAATAAATTGGTTCCTGCACCTGTGCGGAAAATATTGACTTTACGGGGTCCAAAAAAAATCCCAAATCTGTTAAATCAGGAGGTGTCTTCAAATAGCAACTGGGTTAAGGCTGGATCCCATATCAGGCTAAAGCTGGTCTTTGCCTTGTGGGAAAATGGGTCAATAATTTGGCGACACAAGCAGAGCCGACCTGGCCAGCCCTGGACACTTCCAGCTATTTAGGTGCACACCCTGTTTGCTTTATATTTTTAACCTATTTGGCTTGAATTGAGAATTTTCTTCCCTAAAACGGGTGGATAATGATAGGATTATGCCATGGCTGCAAGCATCTGGAACAGGGACTGCGGAGAGGCTGGCTCTCTGACTGCTCTCAAAGTGACTTTGGGAGGTATCGACCAGGCTGCCATGAATAGTAACTGTTCTCCCATCCAAGTCAAGTGTGAAAGGCAATCACTGGAGGTCAGATAATTAGGAGATTAATTAGCATCCATGGCAAAATCCAAAGAAACTCGTATGGGGAATAAAACAGCAGGTTTGAAGGAAGATATCTGGAAGCGGCAGTAAGGTGTAAAATCTGTGCTTAGGAGATGGGGAGAAACGAACTCTGCTTCTCCAAAACACCTTTTATCTGTGCAGATCCCCCCTGAAAATTAACAAGTGCTTTTTCCCAGCAGGCAGCCCCTGTTAACTGAACTTATGTCCATAATTGTACCAGGAAATCTCTGTAATAAGCTCTTACGCTCTACTTGCACCTTCCTTTGAGCAGCAGAAATAAGACTGGACATGTACCCCAGGTGAAATTTATCTGGATTTTCTTAAATATAGGGAGAGCAGAGGTGGAGCACGGGCAGGGCTGGTGCAGACCGAGGCAGGGCCGAGAGCTCACCGTGGCAAGCAAGCCGTGGGCGCTTGCAGGAGGTGCCGGAGGGTCCCCGGTGCATCCGCAGGGAAGGTCCTGGCTTCCCGGTGAATCCTTGGCCCGGCCAGGAAGGACCCTGTGATTTCACCAGGGCCACGTGTGAAGGATTCCCATCGTGGGGAGCACCCAGCGGGCATGCAAAGAGGCTGTTCCCCTGCCCAACACCCTTTAAAATCTCTCCTTTCTCCTCCCTGCGGCTCAGCTCTCTCCGAGTGGCAGGACCATGCTGGAAGATGAGGATGGGATGAGCGAGAGGGGGCTCAGCAGCTCCAGGAGGAGATACGACGATGAGGAAGGTGAGTGAAACCTCGGGGATGCCCCAAAGGGCAGCCGGGTCTTCCCTGCCACCCAATACATCAAATCTCCAGGCACCCAGCTCGGCCCATCCCACGCACGACATGGGAAAATCTCCTGTGGGTGCTTTAACCCCGCTGGGAAGAAGGCAAATATCTCTGTGGCTTTTTTTTTTTTTTTTTCTTTCCAAGTGAGAAACGCCCACCTCTGCTCCCTAAAGTCTTTCCTCCCACCCCTGTCCCCTCTAGATTACCACTCCATCTACATCGGGGTGCCGGTGCCCCAGGGCTACCGGAGGAAACGGCGTCGGCGAAGATCTGTCTCCAGCCGGGACAGGACAAGCGAGAGCGAGCGGCACTACGAGCGCCAGGATCGCTCCGACACCGACGACGGCGGCCACGGCTGCTACGAGAGCGGCAACGACAATGCCAGCAGGACCAGTGAGTCCCTGGGCTTCCTGAAAAATCAGGAGGGCTTTAGGGCTTTTGCAGCATCGTTTAAACCAGGATTAAATCACACACACACACACACACACCCCCGCCCCGTGCACCTAGCCACGTTGCTTGGTCCAGCGTTTGCATTTGGCACTACTTTTCCTGATGCTTCCCAGTTTTATTTTTCCCTGTGGATGTCTCTGAGAGCCAGGCACAGGGTGTGAAGTGGGATTTGAGGCTGCTTAAGTGATGGGTGGGCTAAAAGAGGTTGACTTTGCCCTTGGGAGGTTGCCCTTGGCCTTGCCCATGGGAGGTTGCTGATGGGGAAATCAGGGTACAGCAGTGTCCCAGGGGTGCAGACATCCTCTGGGCATCACACCTTGTTCCCGACAGGCTTTTGCCCAAGGCTTTGACCAGTCTCCTTAAATCTCCTTAACGAAGATTAACATTTTACACAGTAAAGTAGCTGTCGATCTCTTGGTTTTGTTGTTTTTTTTTTTTTTTCCAATCCCCTATAGAAATTTGCATTTGGCTTTATGTTGAGCAGACCACATCAGGGCTCAGCAGAGTGGGCAGGGGCTCAGCTTTGCTTTTCCCTAAGGAAAGAAAAGTTTTCTTTCTTTTTTTTTTTTTTTTTTTCACATGGGAAGAGATTTTTTATTTGCAGCAGGCTTCTCTCACAGCTCCTTTATGCCTTTGGTGGCAGCACGAGCAGGACCACGTCCCCTGCTTTCTGCAGGCAGTAAATGCCACCAGCATGCAACACTGGACTGGTTTAGGGGGGCAAAGTCATCTTGTGGAGGAAAAATACCCCCAAAAGCCTCAACTCTTCAACAGCCTGCTTTCCCTGAGGAAATCTCCCTCATTTGGGTGTTTTTTTCCCAGAAAAAAAAATCTCTGCCCTGAGCTTCGAGGGGGTTTTCCCACCTCCCTCCAGGTGGGAAACAAAAACCCTCCACAAAATAATCCCAAACCTTTGATTTCTGTCCTCCCACCTCTCCCTCCCTCCCCTTTCTTGCTCACTCCATCCCGCTGCCACCCAAAGCTCTCACCTCTCCTACACGCATCCCGTTTGATTTGGTAACTTCCCGTCATGAGAGCCAAAGGGAAAGGAAAGTGCTTTATATTCTCTATAATCTGCTCCTTAAGCCTTGGGAGTTTAACAAGCCTGAGTGGATAAAGGAGGAAGTTTGGGGGTTTGGATTTTTTTTTGTACTGTGCAGCGAAGGTTTGGTTTAGACGGGAAGAAATGGGGGAAAAAATGGAAACAACTCCAGGTAGGTTATTTCCATTGCTCTTTGGCGTCCGTGGCAGGGGGAGCTGGAAGGGAAGAAAGGTTCCTTTTTTTTTTTTTTTGGCTTTGCTTTTCCCTTGTAAAAGCAACTTGCAAGCCTGTGTGGGGTTGGGTTGAGTGCTCGGTCAGGGCACTGGGCTCCAAAGCTCACCCCAAAAATATAAAGGGGGACAAGGACAGGACTGATCAACTTCCACTGCTCCTCAGAAACAGGGAAACAGAAAAGATGATATCTGGAAGGAGAAAAGTCTCCCAGATGTGGGGGTTTCTTGAACAGAAATAGAGCATTTAATCCCATGGGATGTGCACCCCAGTCTCCTCTTTTTTGGGGGGAGGGGACCCTTCTGAGCCATGAAACCCCGGGGAAAGGCTGTCGTATATTCAGAAGGACCACAACAGTGGATGGTTAATGTGCCGGAGCCTTAAATAAAGCTTAGTCCTGCTGCCCAGCCAGATTGTAAACCCTCGGTGACACCGCATTCCCTGTCCCCCATTTTATCACCTTTTGTATTGTACCCAAAGCCAGAGCGGGATTTTTGGTTTGGAAAAGCATCACTAGGTGAGGTTTTACTGCTGGATGAAAATCGGGGTGTGAAGAGCTCTGTGCACCTCAAATTAAAGGAGGTATAAATCAGTGCAAGGGGTCTGTCCTGTCCAATTACCCACAGAAATGTAGGTTCTTGTGTACGTAAAATTATCCTATATTATCACCAGCATTAATGCTGAGCTAATTCTGCAGCTGTGGGCCTGATTCGGATCCACTGTGCCTTAAATCACAGAGGAGGTTTGATGGGTGTAATGCAGGAATTGCAGCTGTGAGTATTTTCCCATCATAAAAGCTGGTGCAGGGAGGTATGGATCTGCTCTGGGCACCCGTTGAACCATGTCTTGCAAGAAATAGGTGCTGCTTTTGGGGTAGCTTTGTGGGTTTTGGCCAGTGTTTTTGCAGCAGTTTTACTCTTGTGTTCCCCAGTGGTGCCAAGCAAATAGCTGCTGCTTCCCAGGATTAATTTAGGCATTGGATCAAATTTCCAGCAGATAGGAAAAAAAAAAAAACAACACAGAATGCTGGGTTGTAACCAGATGCCAGGCTGGGTGCTTTCCCAGGCATGAAAAGGTCCTCAAAGTGAATAAACCCCATGAATTTTTGCCGTGGTGTTGTTGGTTTAGCAACTGGCTCTTTGCTCGGGTCAGGGAGCTGTGGGGAGCAGAGCCGGCTGCTGCTGGGAAGCACACGTTAGGTGTTGAGAGATGGATTTATTCCTTAAACTGGGGGAGGATGGCAAAAAAAGCTTAAAAAGAACCAAAAAAAAAAAAAAAATTCTTTATGTGCAAGCTTTCTGTTATCTTTTGTGGTTTCCCGTGGTTAAAGTGTGTCACAGCCCTGAGACTCCAAAATGAGTTGCTGGGGGGACCCTCTGGCAGTCGAAGCAGGAGGGGCCCGTTCTTAAGCACCTGAGGGGGGAATCTGGGCAAAGGTGGGAGCAGAAACCACCAAGTTGAGGATTTGCAAAGCTCTAACCCCTCCGCCCCCCTCCTGCAAAATTGCAAATCCCCCTTTTTTTACAAATGCATCCAGAGATCGCACCCGAGATGAATATTTCCAGCAAACTCCCTTTTTTTGTGGTCTGTCTCACTGCATTTGCAGTGAATTTGGGGTTTTGCAGGAAATTTAAGGTTTGGGCTGCAGAGCAAAGCAGATGGTGTGAGGCCAGGGAAGGGTTGCTGATATCTCACCAATTTCATCCCCTTTTACGTGAGCAGCACTAGGCTTAAAGAGCCTGAAGCCCTTCAGGCATGTAGCTCAACTCTAAAATTAACAGGAATATTAATAATCATAATAATGAAGCTTATGGAAGTGGAAGGAGGACTTGACAACAGGGTTTTAAGACCTGGTGGTGGGGCTTAAAGTGCTTAAGCGGTTAAGCAGGCTCAGCCCAGAGTGCAAGGGACATCCTATTCATTCACGGCCACCGCAACTTGGGTTTCATCTCCTTTGGTGGGAGGACAGGACAATATTCCCATTTTTTCCTCTGCTTAATCACAGCAATTTAATTACCTGCTTTTTGGGGGTACCCTATTACCTGACTTTCTTTATTCCCAGGTTTGAGAACAGAAGGATTCTGCTAACATTTTCCAAGCTGGATTAAATTTTGCTGTGTTAAGAGAGGGCGAAGACCCATGATTTTATTAAAAATGCACTGTTTTCACAGAACCTGGCATAGGGCTGATTTTAACCACTTGTTTGAATAACGGGGCAACTGGGGAGCAGTCCCATCTGTGCCACATTCTGGTTCATACCCAAGTTTTTGATTCCTCCCTGCAACCAAAATGATGAGGCTTTGCTAGCAAAGCACACGAAGATGGAGAGGGTTAAAAGAAAACCCAACCTGTTTTTTGGGGGGGGAGGAGAGGGCAGGTCCGTCACCCTCCCGTGGCTGCGGGGAATTTGCCGAAGATGAAAAGCCCTTTTCCCCTCAGTCAGGAGGTTTGCAGGCAGGTGATGTGTCGCTGCTTCCCTTCCTGAAATACACTGCGGGGAGCAGGAGACAGTAAGTGCCCTTCCCAGCCCGGCTGATTATTTGCAATAAGAAGCTGGATTTTTTCCTGCAAAAATGGTGGATTTGTATTGTTCCCCTCAAATGATACACGTTCCCCTTGGGGATCCAGTGGGAAAACGTGTGCCGAGCAGTCATGCATCCCGATGCGCAGGAGACCATGAGGACTTGGTTGCTGATGGCAGATGGCTTTAACCTGGCAAAACCAGGCTCTGTGGTGGGGAAAAATGTGGGATACCCCACAGAAACGGGGCACATAATGCTCCTAGAAGGGAAATTTGACAATATTGTATATAGGGGTGGCCACATTCCATAATTCCCAGCCCAGACATATATATTCCCTTCCTGGCTGCTACACAGTCTCTACTCATCCTTTCCACCAGCATCCTATATCTCTTTGCACAGGGATTTTGTGACAGGATTACGTGGAGTTTCCCCACTCCTCAATGTCTCTCACCTTTAACATTTTCCTCAAAACCTCCTTTTTTTTTTACCCCAGGATCTTAAATAGCCCTACAGACCCCTTTTTTACCTCCCCTGGGGCTTTCCATATGCGAATGGTACGGGATCATCTTGTCTCCAGCTGTTGGTAAACCTCTTTTTTTCGCCCCCTGGCAGTGTCACCGGCTGCTGAACGCCTCCGCTACATCCTGGGGGAAGATGATGAGCCCCCCAACCCCACGCTCTTCACGGAGATGGACACGCTGCAACACGACGGCGAGGAGATGGAGTGGAAAGAGTCGGCCAGGTGAGGGGGATGGAGATGCTTTGGGTTGAAAATGTGTGGGGTAAAGATCCCCCGCTAAATATCCCTGTGTGGAAATGGGGTCGGAGAATGAACATCATTTTTAATGAGGTTAAAAAAGCCATGCCCAAATTAGGGAAATGCAAAAAAACCCGGCGTTTTGGCGGGCTTTACATGGCAGCTGCAACCTGCCAAGGAGGACGAAAGGAGGAAGATTTCTCATCTTTCTCATTATCTACCTGGGTTGAAGCAACCCCAGAGCTGGGGCTTTTCCCGTTTCCTGTTGCAGCATGAGAGAAAAATCCAGCAGAAAGGGCTGGGGGTGTGAAAAAAATGGGGTAACATGCTGGGAAATTGTAGAATTAGAGCAGAGACCTGGGAAATAGAAATAGGGGACGTAAAGAACATTTTCCCAGGTCTTTTTTTCCCCACACACTTTTTCTGACCAGGCCAATAGTTAAACTTCTGCCCCTCAAGCATTAATAATAAAAACCAACCCACTACATCTTTAATAAAAGTATTAGAGGAGTTGCAAGTGCCACTTGCTTTGTTGAATTAGGAGCTTATCCAAGGGAAAAATCTCAAATCCAAGTGGGATTTTCTCTTCCTAGCCTCCACTGTGTAAGAGTTAGTAGGGTTGGGGGAGTTTGGGGAAGCTTTAGGAAGGGAGTCAGGGATTCTGATGGTATCCCAAGCCCTTTCCTTTCTGTAGCACATGTGAGATTTCTGAGTCCGGGTGTGGAGGTTTGCCCAAGGGATGGGGAGAGAGCAGGATCAGACCCTGTGGGTGCTTGTCCTATCTCTTAGGCCTGGTTATTTGCATCACCAAAAATCTGGAAAGATCTTAAGCATCCTCCAGGTTGCCAACCCTGCTCAAAATGCAGTAGTTCAGGGATGCTGTTGCTAAAACCCTTTATATTTTCCCCTCCAATTTTGCATAGGTCTGTATCTGCTCATCCCTCCCCACTCTCCAAAAAGCTCCGGAGGCAAAAAATCAGCGCTTGCATTGGGATTTTCATCAGGGAGGGTTTGAGATGGAGGTTTCCAAATTCCCCCTGTCAGGATGGAGGTTTCTCAAGTCGTGGATTTCCGCTCTCCAGCAAGGAGGGGTTCAGCCTCTTTAGCTGCAGGAGGGCAGCTCCTTGGTGGGAGCAGTGCTACCTGCGGCTAAATCCGCAATAAATGGAAATAAGTGGAAATAAAGAAGCTGAGTGCAGAAGAGAGATGGGGTTTGGCTGTAGCCTTGGCAAAAGCATGATGGGATGCTGGTCCCAGGGCAAAGGCGCCGCTGGAATCGTGCCTCGAGTCCCGCACACCGACCCAAGCTGCCACCCTGCGTGCACACTAATAACCCACTTTCGGCAGGAAAATGGGGCAAAAAAGAAACGAAAAGTGACCTAATCGGCTTTGGGCGAGCACCGACGGGACTTAGTGGGTGCTGCGGCGGGAAGCTTGAATGTCCTCCCAATAAAAGCAGCGGTGTTTGAAGGGCTAGAGGAAGGGTTTCTGCAAAGAAATCAGGGTGAGGAGCTTTGGAGTGATGGGCGCTAGGGCCAAATTTTGGGTTTTTTTGAATGTGCTGTGATTTTATCCCCAGCACAGACCATTCCTGGCACTCCCAGATAATATTTGGAGGGTTTTTTTGATAGGGACATCCAGCATTTTCACTTTGCTGCAGCATTTTAATGCACCCCCCTGCAGCTGATACAATCCTGAGCTCTCCCCACTATTCCCCTGCAGTGTTCATGAGCCATCAGCTACTCCCAAAAACCCTTCTCCTCCTTCACCCTTTCTGTCTGTGCCCTCTGCGGCGGCAGGAGCCCAAATCCCAGTTGTACCAGTTAAAAGTTGTAAGGTTAAGCCCTGCAAAGGCTAATCCACAGAGCCTGAAAACCTCCTGTAAAGGAAAAGCAGCTTTCTTCCCCAAATCAACGTCTTGCCGAGAGCTGCCTGCCCTCCACAGAGCCTAAGCCCTGTTCCTGGGGAGCTGGAGAAATCAGTCACCATTCCCAAATCTGCTCTGAAGTCTTTGATTTGTAAAATTAAGGGAGAGAAGTGGAAGGACTGATTTCCAAGGGCTTGCAAACCCTCTCGTCTCTTACTGTGGGAATGAAGCATCCAGGTTGAAGTCTGAGCATTGCTAAGGAAATAAAAAGACATTTGCAGTGCCCTGGGTTTTTGCTTTCCTGCGTGCATGGCTGGTCCATGGAGATGCAGAGCCTGGCTAAGGCCAGGTCAGCTCCATGGGAAAACCTCCCAGATCTTGCAGGAGCAATTTGTGGTGAAAGATCTGCTGAGATCAGTGGTAGAGCCAAGAGAGGTTTTGCTCCACTCTGCAGTGGTACAAGCAGCACTTTGTCTAATGATGTTACTTGATTTCTCCATTCCCATCCTGAATAACAAGCAAAAACTTTGCAGGATGAATTAATTCAGGCTTGCAAAGCCGCCTGCAGAAGGGAAACACCACAGGGAAAGCAATTCTCTTATTCTCATACACCATCCCTGCTCCGTGCCTGTTCCCACAGCTGCTGCTCTTGTTTCAGGTGGATAAAATTTGAAGAAAAGGTGGAGGAAAGTGGGGAGAGGTGGAGCAAGCCCCATGTGTCCACGTTGTCTTTGCACAGCCTGTTTGAGCTACGGACATGTCTGCAGACGGGGACGGTGCTCCTGGACTTAGATGGATACTCTTTGCCCCAAATTATAGGTAGGAGCCGGCAGGTGTCAGTGGTTTGTGGTTTTTTTTTTTTCCCCCCCATGTTCTAAAGTTCTAGAAACAGATTTAAATGAATTTACTTGCTACATGCAAATATAAACCAGCTTGCAGGAGAATAAACAAAGACAGGAGTTGAGAGCCATCAACTTAGTTCAGTACGTGCTGTTGTCTCGGTCTTTCTGGGAGGGTTTGCAGTGGGGTAACCCGTCGTTTGGTGCTTGCAGATGATGTAATTGAGAAGCAGATCGAAGACGGTCTGCTCAAGCCAGATCTGCGGGAGAAGATAAGCTACGTGCTCCTCAGGAAGCACCGTCACCAAACCAAGAAGCCAATCCACCAGTCCTTGGCCGACATTGGCAAGTCCGTCTCCAACACAAGTAAGTCCTTGGGGTCCAACTGGTGCCCAGTTGCATCCTTGAGCCTTTGGTGAGCAAGATCCGGGGGAGGAAGATCCCAGGAGAAGGAGAGGGGGAAACCCAACCATTTGGGGCACCCAACTGTTTACTGCATTGAGAAAGACCCCAAAAGCTCTGCCACAGGTGGCTTTGAGGATGGGAGGGAGCCAGAAGCCAAGGATATGTCTGCTGAGAGGGACAGTGGTGTTGTGAGGGATGATGGAGTTGTGTGAGGAACAACAGTGCTGTGTGAGGGACAACAGCGTTGGCGGTCACTTGGCCAAGGGACTTTCTGGCAGAACAGCCTACAGACAAATCCAGTCTGCTCCGTGGTTGAACCTGCCTATTTTTGAGCCATTATAAAAGGGGATTTGTTTGTTTTCACACTAGATTATTTACTTAGGTTTAAACGGAGGTCATTTGGTGGAGCCCGGGATTTGCCGGGCTTCGGCTGCTCCCCGGGTAGACAGAAACAGCAACGCCCAAGCTCAAACTGTACATGGAAGAGGCCATCAATAAGCAATATTCCCACCCTGCGGGCATCCCCAGGTTTCAAAGCAACCATTTTCCATCAGATATTTGAGCTAATATTTGCCAGAAGCTCTCAAAATGGAGCACAACTTGGAAATGTTGTGGTTAGTCCCTGTAAATGGGGAAATTCGGGGCATCTTTCGTGTTTCTAATTCCTTGCTGAGACGATGGCATTGCTTTGAGTTTGCAAATAGGGACACCAAGGAGAAAATGGTTGTTGGCAGGAGCAGAAGGGTCCCTCATATTTCTTGTGCCAATGGCAACTCCATGATATTGGAATAAACACTGCTGGCACATTGAAAATAGGACCATGCCCAGTGGGCATTTCATCATTGTTTTTAGTGGGTTTAACAAAAACAATGAGGATGCTGTGGTTGCAGCTCAGCAAATCTGGTACAGGTGGTTTTCCAAAAGGAAATTCAGGAGGTTTTCTGGGAAAATGCTGGTCTTAACAAAGAAAATTCATAGGGAAAAAGGGAAGTCTTTATAGGGAAGTAGTTCAGTTTAAACATCTGAGATGAAAAGTGGGACTCGTCACAAGTTTAGGGAGGAGAAACATTCATGTGAAACTTGGTAGTGGCCAACGTAAATATTCTGAAGTGTGAAGTTCATGGCAAATTTAAAGTGTAAGTTTCTCTGGAGAACTAGGCGATGAAAAAGCCAAATAAAGTGTTGAGTCTTCCTAAGTAACAGAAATTGAACTTCTGAACCCATTTATAGCCTCAAAGAGAGCATTGGTGGGCTGTGGGGTGGTGCAGGCTCCTTGCACGGAGCCCCTGCAGTGGGGAGACTTGGCTTAAGGCCTTTTATTCTTTGCTAATGGAAAAATAACAAAGGTGGGATAAAAGTGCAAAATGAGAGTGGGAGGGAAAAGGAAATTGCTGGTGTATCAGCGTTGGGTCGGTCACGTCTGTGCCGGGCAGCTGATTTTCAGCCCGGCCTCTTGCCTTCAGCATCACCCAAAGGTTCCCCGTGGCGTCTCCTCTAACGGCTCCTTTCCCCCAGCCCGCAGCCCCGTCCGGAGCCCGGCCGCCGGCGCTGCCTTCCACCGCTCCACCGAGGACCTGCGGATGCGGCAAAGCGCCAGCTACGGCCGCCTGCGTAAGCTGGGGAGACAGAAACGGTCCTGGAAGAAGCAGGGAGTGGGGGGAAACAAACAAACAAAAAAAAAAAACAAAAAAAAAAAAATCAAGTTGCAATATGAGAGTGGGCAATTGCAAATACAAAGGGGATCCCACTACAGCCATAAATGCGATGTGGTTTGTGTAACCACGGGGTGACTGGTATTAGAAAAACTCATATTCTTGCATTTTCATTTTACTGCACCTGGTTTGCAAGCCCAGCTAAAATATATATTTGTTTTTTTCTTTGCACTGAAGTCGTCTCACTATGTATTCCCCTTGCACACAGGGCTGAAATTTGGCTACGCATCACAGGGTGGTTTTCTGACTTTCTCCCTCTTATCTCCATCAGGTCACGCACAGAGTCGGAGCATGAACGACATCTCGGACACGCCGAGCACCGACCAGGTAATCACCCCTGGAAACATTCATGCAGTGCTGTGAGGAGCATCTCCAACACGTGATGGGGCACGGGCTCTGTGGTTGTTAAGGTCCATGTGAGCCTTGTGTGGCTTCGTTCGGTCAACAACCACACAAATTCCTAATTAGGGAAATTAATACACGTATTGATCCCTGCTAACTCATGGGGAGGCTGTCCCAGAAATAATACCTGTGCTTGCAAGTTGAACGCAAAATTAGGGATGTGCAAGGATGCTGATGTAGCTTGAGATCCTTAGGGTGTAGAAAATAATTCCTTAGAATCATTAGGTTGGAAAGGGAAGGAAGAGTTCAGGGGTCCTAAAAGAGCCTTTGCTTGGCTGGGTAAGGGGAGGTTGCAGGGGGTCAATCCCAACCAAGCACTTGGGTCTGCAAACATGAATGCAGCTCTCGAGACAACTGTCTGTAAATATAGAGACCGATTCCGTTTTTCCCTCCGTTTGCAGCCTGATGGATTTCTTAATGCAAAGCTCAGCCGAGAGTCCACTGGGGGCTTTTCCCACCTGGTTTGCTTTGCACGGGAGAGCTGGGGAGGAGGTCAGGCTGCTTGGGCAGATCTCTGCTTGGCGATGCGATGGATCAGCAGGGTTTTGTGCTGTTCTTCTGATGGATATCCCATCCCCATCCCAATATCACGGCTATTTAGCTGGGGACTGTTGATGCATTATATGGGCTTTGCTTTGTTTGTATTTGGCCGTGATTTCAGCATAAACCTAAGGGAAAATTAAATGAAATGTGGGTTTGTAGGGGACAGTAGGAGATAACAGCTTGCTTTTCCCTAGGGATCTCCTTGCAGGGTTTACCTGGGGTGATGCAATTTAGGTGGAAGTGAAGCATGGAAATACATGTGTTTCTGGGAGCCACAGGACCAGGGATGCCATGGTATCAGGGAGGCAGAAGATTTCCAGAGCACCTTCCAGAATTAGAGCTGCAATAAAGCAAGCCAACTGCCCACTAATGAACCCCAAATATCAGCCTCCACCAGTGGGGTGCGGAGGGTTAATCCCAAAATATGCAAAGCATTTAGGTTTAATCGCCCTATTAGGCCCACTACAAAGGGACTTTTTAAGTGTTACACTAAGCTTAGTGGTCACTGTTAACTCCTGCTCTTGCTTATTCCAAGCTGCATTGGAGGAGTTTCTTTTACTTTTTTTTTTTTTTTTTTCCATTTGGGTTTAAAAGATTAGAAAGGGGAGATCTTGCTGCCCAGCTCACATGCCTCCCCTCATGCTGGCATATAGATTATAATAACACCCTGCCTGGGTTGGTATTGAACTCTTTTAGACTAATAATGAAAGAGCTGCAGGGGAGAAGAGACCAGCAGAATAAATCCGTGAATGAGGTTTCCGACTTCCATTATTTGTTCCTGCTCCAAGGATGTGGCTGGGGTGGAGTGAGGTACAAAAACATCCCCCATGCATGGCGCTGAGCAGTGTTTCTGCATCGTAGAGGGTCTCGGGGAGCCTAGGCCTGCAGGGCTGCAAACAGATTTGCAAAAATGCATGCTGGTTTGCTCCAGGGTCTGTATTTTTTGCTCAGATTTTCTGCAGGGGGATTGCACGGGGTTTTCCTTGTGTAGACCCCAGAGCTGCAAATCACCTTTTGCAAACCGCCCAGTTACACATTGCGTTAGGGAGCCCAGAGCGTGTGATTTCAAGTTAATCTTGGGTTTAGTGATCATTTTGAATAACGAAGAAATTCAGCTTTTTGGATTCTTGCTGGTTTGTTCTTGGATATGGTTCTCCCCACTTCTGGGAGTCCTGGGACCATCAGAGATCATGAGGTTTGAGCCTGTGGCTTCAGCTTTTGCGTTTGGGATGTGGTAAAGAGCGGGAAAAGCCAAATTTCAGCAATTGCTTCCTTACCCACCCTCATCTTTCCAACAGCTGAAGAATAAGTTCATCAAGAAGATCCCCAAGGATGCAGAGGCCTCCAACGTGCTGGTGGGAGAAGTGGAGTTCCTGGAGAAGCCCTTCGTGGCTTTTGTGCGGCTCCTCCAGGCAACGATGCTGGGAGGGGTGACGGAGGTGCCCGTCCCCACCAGGTGAGCACAATTCCTTCGGGCCCAAAGCACCGAGTGATCTCACGACATGGATGCCGGTGATCTAAGGTTGTCAACACAGAGCCTTTCCCTTCCCAGGTTCCTCTTTATTCTCCTTGGTCCCGCGGGAAAAGCTAAATCTTACAATGAGATCGGCAGAGCCATCGCGACTCTCATGGTGGATGATGTGAGTAGATGCAACAGCCGGCCCTCACCGGGAATCCCCTTGCTCAGAACTGAGAAGAAAAAGCAATTTTCATCCCGTCACCCAAAAGAATGAGCTTTAAAATCCCATAATGACGTGGGACATGTGCGTGCTGGATGCTGTTCCCAGGCTGACATCTCCCCTCTCTCAACCCTCAGCTTTTCAGTGACGTTGCCTACAAAGCCCGAGATAGAGAAGACCTGATCGCCGGCATAGATGAGTTTCTGGATGAAGTCATCGTCCTGCCGCCTGGCGAGTGGGACCCCAATATTAGGATTGAGCCACCCAAAAAAGTGCCCTCAGCTGAGAAGAGGTGGGTGGGAGACGTGGGGCCGGCCCCAGCCCTGTGGCCGTCCCCATCTCTCCTGATTTGGAGATGCTGGAGGAGGACAGCAGCTTTGCATGCCTTTATCCCTCGAAAGAATCTTTGCAAATGTTCCAGAAATGCTGTTTTTTCAGCAGCCTTTGCCCCCAGATCAGCTCAGAGCTGTTTCCACTCTGCAAAATCTGCATTACCCCCTGGGTTGAGCAAATCCAGCTCTTGATCTTTCCAAATTCACCCCAAAACTCAAGCTCTAGTGCAGGTGGAGAACTACACCATGGCCTTGGTTGTGGTCCCTGCATGAGGACTAGCTTGGTAGGACAGGTACCATGGCCAATGCTGGTGGCTCTCTCCCACAGGAAATCAGTTTTCTCGCTGAATGAAGTGGGGCAGATGAACGGCATGGCTGGTGGGGCGGGCGCCGGGGGCGGTGGAGGAGGCAGCGACGATGAGGAGATGCCCGAAGCTCACGAAATTGGGGAAGAGCTCGCTTGGACTGGCAGGTGAGCAGCACCCCAGCACCCATCAACATCTCCTACTGGCTCACCCCATGGTCTCCTGGGGGCATGGAGGGCTGAAATCCTTTCGGGCACAGCCAACACTGTATCTATTTTGGTGGAAGGCACATGCATCTGGTCCTTGGTGGTGTCTCCCCAGATTTTGCGGTGGCCTCTATTTGGATATCAAGAGGAAGCTGCCCTGGTTCCCGAGTGACTTCTATGAAGGCTTTCATATCCAGTCCATCTCTGCCATCTTGTTCATCTACCTGGGCTGCATCACCAACGCCATTACGTTTGGAGGCTTGCTTGGGGATGCTACGGACAACTACCAGGTTGAGTCCAAGGAGGCGGGGGTCACTTTGCCAAGCAGGGATGGGATGGGGTGAGGTGGGGTGGGATGGGATGGGAAGGGGTGGGTTTTGCTTCCTTGTGCCATGCCAAGCTTTAATGCTGGGGATGGAAATTCATTGCCAAGTGGGACCGACAGCCCTGAAATACCAGCAGAATGGGAAAACCCATCTCAATGGCAATGCCAGGAGCAAGGGCACATGTTCCCAACCATCCTATATGGGTCCAAGCAGAGGTCCTTAATTCCCATCTCCATCTGGGGTATCTGTGGGGTTGTAATGTCGCACGGCATCACCATAATGTTGGGTTTGATCCATCCCCAGGGCGTCATGGAGAGCTTCCTTGGCACAGCAATGGCAGGCTCCATGTTTTGCCTCTTTGCTGGGCAGCCGCTCATCATCCTGAGCAGCACCGGCCCCATCCTCATCTTCGAGAAGCTGCTCTTCGACTTCAGCAAGTAGGTGCTGGGCGATTCCGGGGGGAACCAGAACCCCTCCATACCAGGATGGGAGCAGCCCTCCAGCCCTTGGCATGCTCTCATGGGGCTGTTCTCACCTTGTCCCCACTTTCAGAGGCAATGGCATCGACTACATGGAGTTTCGCCTCTGGATCGGCTTGCACTCTGCCCTACAGTGCCTTATCCTGGTGGCCACCGACGCCAGCTTCATTATAAAGTACATCACTCGCTTCACAGAGGAAGGCTTCTCCACCCTCATCAGCTTCATCTTCATCTACGATGCCATCAAGAAGATGATTGGAGCCTTTAAGTACTATCCCATCAATTCAGACTTCAAGCCGGACTATGTGACCATGTACAAGTGCGAGTGCATTGCTCCTGACCCAGGTGAGTACACATCTTTTTCGGCACTGGATGGGGAAGATGAAGGGGGTGGGAGGGTCCTACTGCAGATAAATCCCACTGGATCATTGGCCGGGGACATGGAAGGAGGCAGCTACCTGGTCAGCGTGGAGTGGAGAGACCTCATCCTCCTCCTCTGAGGGTGATTTTGGGCAAGATGGAAGTAGAGCCTTGTCCCCCATGGATGAACGCGTCGGTGCCAGAATGGCAGAGAGCCAGGACCTCAGCCTGGAGAAGCCAAACCTGGATGGATAAAAAGGAAATATGGAAAAATAAGGACATTTTAGGTCATTCATTCCAGCCTGATGCCGATGGAAGCTTATTCTCCAGAAAATACACCTGCGGAGTTTTGTCCTCTCCAGTGTCTGGGGCACCCCAGGACGTCCCAGTTGAGTATGGAAACCTCCTTGGGCTGTTTTTTCTCCTCTTTCTTACTCCTTTTCAAAAGGAGAGGCCATCAGGCTCTGAGCCTGAGACATTCTTTTGGTGGCTTCCCTGGTTTTGCTCTTGGATGGATGTACCAGATGATCCCTGGTCTGAATCGTGCAGCTTGGACGCTCCCGTGGCCACCTGGAAAGGAGGAGAGATCTTCACTTTGGGCTAACGGCGGTGACCGCCTGCTCTCAGATGAGCTGAATTTATTTAAACCGTCTAAATTCTAAGAATGATGGGGAGTATCGGCTGCAGACAGAGAAGTCAGAGAGGTGTGATGGTGAAGCTCTCCCCAGTAGTAAAAGCACCCAAGACCAGCCACACAACGCGTTCCCATGCATCTGTCATTGCAAGAAGAGATCTTACCTGCCGCCATGGAAATAACATTTATTTGGTTTAATTTTGTATTTTTCCTCCATTTCTGTTTACCAACCACACACTGAGTGACCCGATCCCGTTGGGTTTTGAAAGCCCTGTGCGCAGTGGGGAGCACCCGGAGATGACGCAATCCTTCCCAAACCAAACCCCTCCCAAATTTGACCTGCAGAAAAGCAAAGCCTGATGCCTGATGCAATCCCCGGGGGCTGAAATATCCCTAACGGGACCGTGACCACCTCCATCCGTCCGTCCGTCCGTCCGTCCATCCATCCATCCATCCATCTATCCATCCATCCATCCATCCATCCATCCATCCATCCATCCATCCATCCATCCATCCATCCATCCATCCATCCATCCATCCATCCATCCATCCATCCATCCATGTGTGCTGGCGTCTGCCCGGCAGCACCCACCACCGTGGCTTATTGCAGGAGGAAGGCGAAGCCTTTAGCCTCCAGGGAAGTCTCCCCCTTTCCCGAGCGCCCCATCATGAGCAAACCCCAGGTGGCTGAGAGGCATTTGCACCCCAAAAACCTTGAGCCACTTTGCAACCCAGACCCATTCCTCACCCTCGCTGTCCTGAGCACCCAAGGCAGTGGTGTCTGCATTGGATTTTCCATTCCTCTAGATATTGAGAAATCATATTTATTCCCCCCTACATCCTTTTTTTTTAAGTTTTTTAAAATTAGTTCTGATTTTTGATCATTATAACTGATTTGTACCATATTTGTCTCTGCTGCACACATCAATTTGGGCCGATTTCAATCTCAAGTGAGTATCACCTTCTAAATATTAAAACTATTTTAATATTTGATACTCTTCCCCCATGGGGATTTTGTTGTTATTTTTTTCCATGTATTTTACTCTATGTTCTGATAAAAGGGTTTAGATAGAGCCCTTAGGGGTCCTCTCTTAAAATATCACCAGTGGTATGCTACCCTTTAAATTGTAAAGACCACAAATAAGTCTGGTTTCTGAAAAAAAAAAAAAAAAAAAAAAAGGGGTTATGGAGGAAAAGAAAAATAAAATATTGTTTTGAATTATGGGTTTGCCAGCGCTGTTTCCCAGAGCCCAGTTTCTGCAGCCCCTGGGTCTCTGCTTCTAACCCAGCAATCGCTTCTCCTTCATTAATCCTCGGCGCTGGGGATGGAGGCAGCAGGTGGGGGCAGCTGAAATTCCCGCTTGGTGCAGGAAGAGGATGGACCAGAGGGGAAAAAAGGGGAAAGAGTGGCCCCGGACCCCGCTTAGGGGCACCTGTAGAAAGTGTGGGTGCTCCTGAAACCATGGAGCTGCGTCACCCGAAGAGCCACTTTTTGCACTGGAGGAGAAGGTGCCGGGGGCTAGAAAGGATGTTTTTTTTCGGTAAGACACCAAAACACGCCTGAAATATTTAAGAAAAAAAAAAAAAAAGGCAAATTGGGCACGATTGGGTGCCACCTGCCCAAAAATAACAGGCTGCTTTTCCAGTCTTCTGCCCCCGTGGTTTTAAGATGCGGGTGTCTGGATGCTCAACTCTGCTACCAGCGGCTTGCCCAGGAAAATCCTAAAAATTTTAGGAGCTGGAAAGTCCTAAAAATACTCCCCCCAGGCAGTCACCAGCTCCGGAGGGAGAATCTGCTAAAGGAGAAGCTGTGTTCTCTGCCGGCACGTGGGATTAATCAGGGAGAAGTCGCTGCGGGGTTAGAAATGGGGGGTTTTCTCCCCAAATCCTTGTCCGCCTTTGGGGTGCTGATCCCTGTGCGGCTCTCGGAGGATGTGCTTGACCCCATGTTTGCTTTTACGCCGGCCTGGCTGAGCCGTGCCTCTCTGGGCGAAGCCCGGCTGCTTTTAATACCGAAACCTCGATATTAGCCAAAAACCTCAATAACAAACTCCTTTCCCGCAGCCAACGCGACCTTGTTCAATGCTTCAGCTCCAGTGACACCAAACACCACTAACTCTTCTCTGGTAAGCGGGTTTGCTCATCCCAACGGGAAATTTGGGACAAGGGAGGGCAAATCCGAGGGACTTCTGCATCCAGGGAGTGACGCGTGCCAGCTCAGAGCAAGGGAAATGTGGGATTTGCATTGATTTGGGTTCACGGTTGGGCTCAGCAACACCAAATCCCCACTATTTTGCCCAAATTAATAGCAGCTCCAAGGTTTTCCTGTGGGTATGGGGCTCCTAGTGACAGCAGCCCTGGGAAATACTCCTTTCCTTGTACACTGCAATTACTTAAACCTCTAATTTTGCTTTTTTTGATCAGGAAATATCCCTTTCCTTCCATGCTACAGTTGCTAAAAAATGTTGATTTTGCTTTTTTTGACTGGGAAATACCCCTTTCCTTGAATGCTGCAGTTGCACAAAATGATGATTTTGCTTTCTTGGCCGGGCAATACTCTTCTCCTTGCATGATGCAGTTACTTAAAATGCTAATTTTGCTTTTTTTGGGGGGGTTTCTCCCCAGTACAATGCTATTAACCTAACAGCTCTGGACTGGACTCAGCTGAGTAAGAAGGAATGTCTCAAATACGGCGGCAGCCTTGTAGGGAAATCCTGTAAATTTGTGCCTGACCTGGCCCTTATGTCCTTCATCCTCTTCTTTGGGACCTACTCCACGACCTTGACCCTGAAAAAATTCAAATTCAGCCGCTATTTCCCCACCAAGGTAAGGAAAGCACTGGGTTTTACCATCCTCTTTTCCAAAAGATAGGAAATATGGGAGCTGCCGGTCTCTTTGCTGGATGCAAAGAGCTCCAGGAAAATAAATCTATATTTCTAGGAGATGCTAGTAGCAATTAGGAGAATCCCCCCCAAGCTTTTAGCTGCTGTTTTGACTCTTGCATGATGAATAACTCATCACCTTGCGATGCAAAGGGGAAAAAAAATCTGCATTTTCTGGGTTATACCTGAGTTATCCATGGGCAAGCAGAGCTGGAAAGCCCCAGGGAAGGATGCCAAAGTGGGAGCAAACCTCTCCATCCCGTTAATTAACCTTCCCATCCCATTAATTACCCTTTCCACCCTCGTTTCCCCATCTTGCCTCCAGGTCAGGGCTTTCATTGCTGATTTTTCCAATGTCTTCTCCATCCTGCTTTTCTGCGGAGTGGACGCCTGTTTCGGACTGGACACCCCTAAGCTCCATATCCCCACTATCATCAAGGTTCGGCTGCACCGGGGGGGGACCCCTCACCCCCCTGCCCGTGCTCTCTTTCCAGCTCCTCACTGCTTTTGGGGAAAAAATTCGCGGCTCCTGTGGTGTCCAGGCACCTTCTTAAAAGCTACTTTGTCTTTTTGGGTGGAATATTCTAATTCTGTGACTTTTTTTTCCTTCCTTTTTTTGTTGTTTCCCACCCCACCCCGCCTTTTCTCTTTCTCTTACTCCTGGCAGCTGCGTAAACTTATTAGCGATTTCTCTATCTTTGTGTCCATACTAATGTTTGTGGGGCTGGATTTGCTTTTTGGACTCAACACCCCAAAGCTCCAAGTGCCTACTGATTTTAAGGTAAAAAAAAAAAAAAAAGCAATAAAATCCCTTTCTGGAAACATTGCTGAAAATGTCTCTTCCCCCATCCAGGGTATCACTGTCAGGGATGTGGGGAGTCCCAGTGAACATCTGGGGAAAATGTGGGGCTGAGGCATGTGGATGCTGGGAGTGGTTTGAGTACCGATGCATGGTGGTGGGATTTGGGGATGGGACGATGCTCGGAGGTGAGGGGATTCAGGGATGATGTGAAGCTTCCCAAAATGAGCTTTCCCCCCTCTCTGACCTATGCCTGGGCTCAGCTGCGGTGTCCAAACCCCCTCTCTTCCCCCCCCAGCCCACCCGTGTGGACCGAGGGTGGTTTGTGTTTCCCTTCGGGAAGAACCCCTGGTGGGTTTACCTGGCGAGCGCCCTGCCCGCCCTCCTCGTCACCATCCTCATCTTCATGGACCAGCAGATCACGGCCGTCATCGTCAACAGGAAGGAACACAAGCTGCGGGTGAGCCGGGGGCTCGGGGGCACAGCATCGCGGCAGGTACCGCCTGCATCCCGGCGAGCACCTGCTTTTGGGGTGCTTATCGGGTGCTGCTGTAAGGCACAGGGGGGGGTTCACCCTGGCTCGGCACACTCTGCGAAGCAGGGGCTCACCCTTTCCTTTGCAAGTTGTATTTTTGGGGTGACAAAGCCTCTGGGGTGTTAAATTCTCCCGATGCTGTAGGCAGCGGGGTGACGGGGGGTGCACGGCCTAGGGTGCAGCGTGGCAATGTGGGGTGCAGCGGGGGTGAGGCAGAGTGTGTGAGAGCGTTGCGGGGTGCTTCAGGGGGATGCAGGGTGCACCATGGCAATGTGGGGTGCACCATGGCAATGTGGGGTGCACTAGGGCAATGTGGGGTGCCCTGCAGTGTTGATGAGGGGTTGCAGGGTGCGCTGTGGGAGATGCAGGGTATACCGTGGCAAAGTGGGGTGAAGCAGGGTGCTTCAGAATGATGTGGGGTGATGAGGCAGGGTGCACCGTGGCAATGTGGGGTGCGTGAGGGTGATGCAGGGTGCACCAGGGCAATGCAGGGTGCATCAGGGTGTTGCAGAGTGCTTCATGGCGATACTGGGTGCTTCGGGGTGATGCAGGGTGCACCATGGTGATGCAGAGTGCTCCATGGCAACGTGGGGTGCATCGGCGTGATGCGGGGTGCACCAGAGCAATGATGTTTGTGCCAGGGTGGTGCGGGGTACGTAGTGGTGATGTGGGGTGCATCAAGGCGATGCAGGGTGCACTGTGGTGACACAGGATGCTTCAAGGGGTGCAGCAAGGGGGGGAAAACCCACTTTGCTGGGCTCTGGGGTGAATATAGGAACAGCTTCAGGAGCCACGTTGTCCCCCCCTGGCCCTCCCTGGGTGCTGTGTTGCAGAAAGCAGCGGGCTACCACCTGGACCTCTTCTGGGTGGGCATCCTCATGGCCATCTGCTCCTTCATGGGGCTGCCCTGGTACGTGGCAGCCACCGTCATCTCCATCGCCCACATCGACAGCTTGAAGATGGAGACGGAGACCAGCGCCCCGGGAGAGCAGCCTCAATTCCTGGGCGTCAGGTGAGGAAGGCTCGGCCGTGCTCTTCCTCAGGGCGTGAGAGGGAATCCAGACGCGGCAGTGGGCTCAGCCAGCGTGGCCTCATCCTGCTTCTCTCACTGTTTCAGGGAGCAGAGAGTGACGGGCATCATTGTCTTTGTGCTGACCGGGATTTCTGTCTTCCTGGCCCCTATCCTGAAGGTAAAACATCCCCATTGCCCCATCCCTACTCCCTCCCTGCAGATGTCTGGGGACCTGGGAAGAAAAAGCTGGATTTCTGCCCCCCACCACAGTCCCCAGCGTTGGTCCCTGTCCCCAAGAATGAGCTACCACCTTCCTTGGGGTAAGTGCCATGTTTTTTCCATGTTCCCAGTACATCCCCATGCCGGTGCTATACGGTGTCTTTCTGTACATGGGCGTCGCATCTCTGAACGGCATCCAGGTAAGCACTCCTCTTCCTCCTCCTCTTCCTCCTTAATGGCCATGAAGGGGTCCTACACCAGGGCAAAAAGGGGGGTTTTGACTCCAAAATTTGCACACATCCAACATTTCCAGCTGCATAGGAGGGCAGATATCCAAAATCCCCTGAGAAACAACAAAGAGCCCCAAATTCCCCATTTTGAGGACTAAAAGGAGGTTTATCTGGGCAACCTAGGGAATGGGGCCAAGGGCTAACTCTGGCCTTCATCCCACCGCAGTTTTGGGACCGCTGCAAGCTCTTCCTCATGCCGGCCAAGCACCAACCCGACTACGTCTTCCTCCGGCACGTGCCGTTGCGTCGCATCCACCTCTTCACGCTGGTGCAGATCATCTGCCTGTCCATCCTCTGGATCCTCAAATCCACTGTAGCTGCCATCATCTTCCCCATCATGGTAAGGCCAACCCCCTGGGCTGCTATCGCAGCCTCGTTTAGAAGACTTTTTTGAGATGTAAGGAAATTTTGGCTTGGTCCCATGGTGGTCCCCAGGTCTGGGGGTGAGAGATGCACTTGCAGATCCTGCTCTTGCACCTCTCCCCTCCCAGATTTTAGCCTTGATCCTGGTGAGGCGGCTGCTGGATTTTGTCTTCTCCCAACACGACCTGGCCTGGATTGACAACATCATCCCTGAGAAGAAGAAGAAGGAGGATGACAAGAAGAAGAAGAAAAAAGGCAACAAAGGAGACAGCAGCAGCGATGAGGAGGTGGGTGTGGGGTGGGTGGGGGGTTCCTGTGGACGGTGGGGGCATCTCAGATTGGCCGGGGAGGGAAAGATCCCACCAAAACCTCCGGGCTGGTGGATTTGGGTTGAAGATCTCCAATTCATGAAGGTGTTTCACTGCATATGTAGGACAGGCTGATCGAGGGGCTGTAAGTGATGCTTAGGGGCTGGCCAGAGGCTCCAGGGGATGCTCAAAGTGTCCTGAAAGCTGGAAAATCATAGCTAAAATGCAATCATTTGGGAAAAACATGGCTGAGTGTACAGCACTATCCTACAGTGGCAAAGCATCATTAACCCGTGCGTCCCCCTGCCGCAGACCCTTCCGGGATAGAAGGGCTGAGAAGATGAAGGCAAAGCCTCCTCTTCCTGATGCACCCACCTCCAGAGGTTTTTTGTCCCCTTACATGCTCCAGGTGGTCCTGGAGCCCACCCAGGCACTGCCTTCACCGAATTTCCCCACTTTTTTCCCCAGTTCCCACCTCCCTCAGTCATTAAGATCCCCATGGAGCCCCTGCCATTGCAGCCCCGAAACGGGGGACCCCATTGCCTCAGCCGTAAGTAAAGAGCTCAGGAGCTTCTCTCGCATTCCCTACCGCTTCCTAACCCCCCGCAGCAGGACCCGCTCGGCCGCTGATGGCCCTAACCCAAAAAGATGCTAAAAGACGCAGCCTGGATCCGTCCCGCCGGAGCAGGGAGGAGAGTTTCCTGTATTATGCTGCTAATAATTCTGTATTTCAGGTGGCTGGGAAACCAGGGCTCTTCTGGGCCTCCCCCCCGAGCTGATGCGGATGGGGATTTTTAAAAAATATATATATTTTGGAAGGTTTTGAGCCCCCAGAAGCAGGGGATGCAGAACTTGTGGTAGCATTATCCCAGCTGCAAAAGAACAGACGTGTTCAATTTGGCTCAACCTTCTGCCCGAAGCATCACACGTGAGCTGGTGCAAAGCCAGCCATGACCAAAAAAATGCAGAATAAATCTTTGTGAGTTTGTTCAAGCTCGGCACCAGGTTGCGTCATGATGCCAGCAAGTTTTAACACGGTAATTCAGTGACTCTGTCCTCAAGCTGCTGCTAGCAGGGGCTGGTGGGGCCTTTCTCTTTCTCTAATCACCCCCAAAATCAGCATTTCCTGGGAGCTTTTCTCCTCCTCCCACTGTCCAGAGGATGCTGGACCTGGTGGCAGTTTGGTGTGGGGGGGTGAATGGTTTTGGAGGGGGGGGGCTCCTTCCTCACCTGGGAAATGTTTCACCTCCGTGTCCCCCCCCCCAGGAAAGAGGTCCTCTACCTGGAGCTTCGCGTTCTGATTCCTCCCTGAACAGTTCAGACCTGGATCGCAGGTAAATGGCACCGAAGAGGCTCCCCCAGGGCACCAGGACCCGCCATGGGAGACATTTTCAGCGTCACCAGCCGATGCTCCTGGCTGAGCGTCGCTCGCTTGAGCCGCTTGCCACCATCCTCAGCCTTTTCTGAAATAGCAGAGTATATTTTCACAGCAGGCCTCTGTATTTTGGGTGGTTTTGTTTGCTGGCCCCAGCTATCGGGTTGTTGGCAGCAGGGCTGCGTGGGATGACACATCCCGAGCCTGGCATGAGAGGGTTTAAAGCAGAAAAAACGCCGCTGGTTAACAGCCACAGGGATTTTTAGGATTGGGATGTACATCTGAATCCTGAAAGCTTGGGATTGTTCTCCACCTGCAGCTGTGAATTCTGCAGATTCTCCATACTAAACCCAAAATACTATGTTGTTATGAATTCTAGGTGGCAGTAGCATCATCCAGAGCCCGGTGCTGGGGTGGTTTTGGGATGTGGGTACCCATGCCCAGGTGCTCACTGCCCTCTCTCCTCCTCAGTATTACGCTTCATCTGAAGATTTCTTGCCCTTCGTCTCCTGCATTTAACTACTCCCGAAACCCCATCTGCGCCGTGCCCCAGGTGAAGATAGAGATGGAGTCGGACTATGAGGACACTGACACCGAAAAACCACCTCGGGACATGGGCAGTGAGACCACGCTATAGTCCCACGCAGCACTTCCTCTGAAATATATATATATATATAGCTATTTATATATTCATATATATATATAAGGCAAATTGGGCTTATTTTTCTATGTGAGACAAAGGAGACTGTGGCCCCAGGGGTCCGTTGCTCTGGTAGTTTTCAGCGTCACGAGTTAAACGCGTTGTTGAATTTTCTCCCTTTCTGCCAGGTGAGGGCGTCACCGTTGGTGGCAAAATGGGGGCTGAAAAGGTGGAATTGGCGATTTTGGCCTCTGCTTACCCCTGAGCCGCTGCTGGGCTGGGGCAGTTGAAGGGTGAAGGCTGTGGGGGCAGCCGGGATGAGTGCATGGCTGATGGGGAAGGCGCTGGGGTGATGTTTTTGAGGGGGATTTTTGGGGTGGGCAGGAGGTTTGCATGGCTGAGAAGGGGGTGGGGGGTGCCTCCCTGCTCCCCAACCCCTGAAATCACAGAGTGGCTCTTGGTGATTCTTCTTTTGTGAAGGGGATGGTGCGTTGGGCTTTGTGTGGGCAGGACGCCCGTCCCTTCTTGCGGCGTGGCAGTGCAGAGGGGTCCCAGCTCCGCTCAGCCCAGGCTGGATGCGTGCGAGGAGGTAAACCAGCTCAGGTTGTTGAAGCTTGAGGGCAACAGCAGCCAGGCTGTGGTGGGAGAGCAGAGCTGGGAGTGGGGGCCTTGGTTTCCACAGGGGATGGGGAATGGTTTCTGCAGGCAGCAGGACACGCTTTTGGCTGGGAAATAAGAGCAGTTGCTGCAGCAAAGCTGTTTGGTTGCCCATCCCCACGTCCTCACCCACAGCTCTCCCCAGGGGGGGTGATAAGAGCCCTCTCTTTCCATCCTCTCTCTCCCTCCAGAGGGGAGCGAGATGTTCTCAAGCCGTTATCTCTCTGGAACAGCCTGCCCAGCCCCTGTGCAAGGGGTTTTGCACCCACTTCAGCTCCTCAATCCTGGTTATTCGCCCGTGGTTTAACAGCAAGCGGCTGGTAACAGGGAGGGGAGAGCAAGCATGTCCCCTGCCACGTACCCACCCGTGCTTTCCAGCCTGTATCCAGCAGCTCCCCGCTTGGTCTCCGCCTGCATTTCGACTCCACAGAAGTTTCTTCCCACCCGCCGCTGCCTTTGGGTCCTCGGGGAAGGGAAGGGAACAGGTTAGGAGCCAGTGCAGGCACTGAGCTCAGTTTGGCTCTGCCCAGCTCTCACCACCTCCATTTCCAGCAGCACTGGGGCAGTGACAAGGCTTTTAAAGGGTTTTTTTCCCTCCCATGGACTAATCCCAGCTGCAGTTTAAAAACACTTGTCCGAAGCAACCCTCTCAAAGCTGTTTTTTTACTCATTTTTGCTAGATGGTCTCTTTATTTTTTCTCTATTTCAAACCCCACAGAGCCCCAACCTTTCCCCCCAGGCAGAAACAGCCTACCTGATAGTTATAGCAGCCATACGGGGGTTTCTGGAACACAGTTAAATATTGCAGCTGGTCTGGACCTTTGCGTGGGACAGATCCCAGTTCTCTGTAAATAGTCAAGTCCAACAGAAAGACTTGAATGCAGTTTCCTATGTATAGCATTTTTTTTTTCTGGTTCAGGTGCATGTCCTGGGGAAATGCAGTGAGGTAAAGAACACAGGATTACTCCTGTCACCACTTAAGCTTGATGGTAACATTAAGAACTATTTCAGCTTGAACACATCGTATCCGTTTTGTAGTGTTTTGTACCAATCTCCTGTGTGGTAGCTGAAGTGTGGTACAGGCAGGCTTATGATTTTAATCAGAGATTAATTTGCTTTATCCAGTCCATCAGCTCTGCTCTACCACACCCCTAGAAAGGCTTTGTGGACTGTGGTAGATGTTTCATAGAGCAGAGGCGAAGCCACTCTAGCATCCAGCTAGTTTTGACTAAATTTGTCCATTTTGCAAGGGTCAGACGTGGTTTATACTTTTTGTATACAAAAACAGTGGAGAGTCTCAGATTTACCACCTCCATTACAGTACCACTTTAGCCATTTTGTATTTATCAGTGATACAACCCAATAAACCTTATTTCAATGAGTCTCAGCTCTTAGTGTGTTTCTGGTGCAGAGTCCTTGAACTTCAACTTTCCTTCCCACACGCTTTTACCAGCACTCTCCCCTCCAGGGCAGCCCTGAATGCAGGTTAGTGCCAACTCACCAGGTGCCTCCAGCAACAGCCCTTTAGTGTCACAACAAACCCTTCCTGCTCCCAGAAAGGTGGGGTCAGTCTTTCCAGGGAATATGTGAAGAGGAAAGAGGCCAAGACTTACCACACTGCCCACAAACAAAACTGGGTGTAAGTTTTTTTTTTCCATCCTGCCCAAGGCATCACAACCTCAGGTAAGGTTAACTTTCAGTGGATAATCTGTGCTTGCAAACAAACTTGTTAGAGGTTTAAGTTTATACTGTCATGTCAAAGTAGTTAAGAACCAGTCAGGGAGCTGAACAGGTTGTGTTCAGGCATGAAAAAGCTGCTTGCTTCTAGGCTGAGTTGGTGAGGCATGGAGCAGTTGTGCCTTAACTAAGAGGAAGCCAAACCTAACTCTGAAGAACAAAAAGGAGCTAATGTCACAAGTGCTTTCATAAACTACTGCTGGGGGCAGCTCTCCTTTTCTGGGGGAAATATCCTGGAATTTATTACTAAGCAAGTCTTTCACAAGTAGGGTTTTTTTTTTCCTTCTTGTACTTTATTTAGAGTTATCCTGCATTATTTGCTAAGTACTTACACGCTTTACAATACAGTCCAGCAAACTTCCTGTGTGCTCAATGCAGACACCAACAGCCCCCACCCCACCATTCTTTGGTTAGGAAAAAAAAAAAAAAAAAAAAAGGCTTTTAAAAGTCAAAAACAGCTTAGCTGCACACTAGAACAACATGTTACAACAGATCTGCCACTGCCCAGGGCCCTGCACAGGCTGAGAACAGACATATGGCTTTTTTTTTTTTCTCCTTCAAGTAACTTCTGTAGAAGAGCTTAAACTCAAACTAAACATCCAGCATGGAGTAGAAGACTTCAGCACGAGTCAAACGCGAGCAGTCCGGGCCGACTGAGCCTCTGTGAGAACGGAACCATGGAGGCCATGGCATGGAGCAGCACTCTACCTCCCGCGGGGTTGCCAACGCCACACCGAGCTCCCAAGCGCTGCCTAGGCCCTGCTCCCGCAGGGACAGCTTCCTAGAAGAGCTAGCTTAAACACGAAGCAGCTTCGCTAGCATGAGTAGGCCAGGAGTGTAAATGCTTACACCTTAGTACCACTAATGTGCATATGCTTCAGCTGCCAATAAATATCTATGACCTTAGATTAGGAAATTCCACTTCCAATACAATAAATAAAAATATTGCATTTTCTATCGGCCTGTTTGGGAGTCAGTTTGGAATGTCGTTTTTCAGTGCTAAAGAGAGTCTCACATTAGGCAGTTAATGCTTCCAGCTCTTTGGGCTTCAACAGCTTCTTGGCAGCGATGATGGTGTTCTTCATCAGCATGGCAACTGTCATGGGCCCAACTCCCCCAGGGACTGGAGTGATGTAGCTGGCTTTCTTCTTCACCCCTGCAGGAAGGAAAGCTAGAGCTCAGCATGCAAGTTAAGAGCAGTAACGCTCATCAAGCTGGCTGGCCAGTATGAAGAGCAAGGTCTAATAGCTGGATTTCTACCACAGAAATGTCAAGTCCAAGACTAGATGTGGGCTTCACACATGCCCTTGAAGGCAGCCACAATAAAGTACTAACAGTCTGAACATTCACCCCCTTTCTTCCAGGAGGGGAGGAGGTTCCAGTGTCTTTCCCCAGCCACCCAGAGGGGGAAGGCTCATCACAGCAGCCCCTCCTGGCACTGCTGCAGCTAAGGGGGGAACAAGGCCAGTGAATTGGGAGCCAGAAGGTAAGTTCTGCATGGTTTTAGTTAAAACCAGGGGTATGAGTGATGAATTGGAGTAGAGGCAAACTGACCCAACTGCTTAGGCTCAGGATGAGTCTCCTTTGCCTTGCAGCACGCAGCATTCCTGTGGCACACTACAGGCAGGCTGCACCCTTGCATATGGTACAATATCAAATGCACCAAGAGAGAGAACAGAAGCATTAGTCTGCATCTGCTCAGCTGCATGAACCAGGACTTTCTCCTGCCTTTCCATACCTTCAAAATCCACATCCCCAACCAGCCTTGATTTGGCAGTGACAGGATCCTGCACTCTCGTTATCCCCACATCAATAACTGCAGCTCCTTCTTTGATCATATCAGCTGTGATCAGATTGGGTATGCCTGCAAGAAGAAAAGAGAACCACACGCTCATGGTGGTGCTCAACAGCCCCTCGCTCCCCCTCAACCCATCTTCATGTTGTTTTGACCTGCCTGGGCCTTCCTGCCTCACAAAAATGCTTGGACTTTATAATCTTAAGGGTCTTTTCCAGCCTAAATGATTCTATCATTCTATGAAATGCAGTTCTACCCACAGTTGCACAATCCAGAGCTACCTGATGTTCAGCTCAATCAGGAATCGGAGGTGTTTACTGATAACCTCAGAGTATAACAAACTGGAAACCACCCCCAGAAAGAAGTCTGGCCAAGTGGCTGAGACCAAAGCGTCCTCTCCAAGTTGAAACCTTAAAGCTTGCATCTGGAGTCTGTGGCCGTGTTTGTTCACACAGCTCCAGCCACATTTTTGCACCTGCACTAAGTCAGCAAGCTGGAAGGGCGTCCGAGACCACCACAGCCCAGCGTGGCAGAGGCACCAGCTTCACCCAGGGGCTGCAAAACCCCGGCGCGACAGGGAGGGGGGAGCAGCAGCTTGGGGCTAAGCTACCCCTTCAGCGTGGGGTGTGTTTGTCTGGTTCTGCCAGATACTGCGGGCTCAGTGGAGCAGAGGAACTCATTCCCACCCTCTGCTTAGTTAACTCTTTCATGCAAGCCTTCCTCTGGTCTGATGACTGCCTGTGGCAATTTACAGGTCTTATCTGCCAGCAGCACTTCTGCCATCATTATATGCACTGACACCTTCCACACCACTTCTAATCCTTCCAGCACCTTGTCTCTTCATATCACATTTATAACCCACATTTTCTCTCCTCCCTCCCCACAGGCTCACACACAGCTTTCTGCTGCCAGCAGATATCCCAAATCAGCTCAGCCCCTCTGCTGATGAGCTACCTCTGTGCCAAGGGTGCAGCCTGGAGAAGAGCACATCCCCAAAGTGATTCTTCAGGCTCTGAAGATGATGCTGCAGCTGTTCCTCAGCATTTTGACAGTGTCTAGGCAAGCAGATGCCATCTTGGTGGATTTTTTTTCTCCTCCCCACATAGATACAGAACTGTCTGCATGGATAACAGAGCCTGTCTGTAGCTGTTCTCTAGATCTGACCAGGTGCTCGCTGGCATACCAAGCCCTCTTGCCAGATGTTGTTTTCCATTTCAAAGGCAGCTCTGTTAGCAAGATCAAGCATGTGGCTCCTAGGCTTAACCACAGGATAAACTGGCTCAAACAGCCCCTCACCTGCAGTCCTAGCCCTTACCTACAGCAGCTGCAGACAGCCATGAGAGCACTGAACTATCCTACACTGCCAGACATGGAGACCAAGACATTCACTACTAACAGGATTATCTCCTGCAAACAAGGATTCCCACCAGAAACCACACAAGCTGTGGTGCAGCACCATCTGTGCACCTCACCTGGGCTGTTAGTCAGGTCTTACCTGCTGCTGCTACCACAATATCAGCACGGATTGTGTGTTGCTTCAACTGCTCCTTGGGAGTGTAGCGGTGTGAAATTGTGACTGTGGCATCACCTGCAAGAGTGGTTACACAGAGCTTTTAATTCACCTATACCACCCAAACCCAGCCACTTCTCTAGACCTTCCCCTTCGAGACCACCCATGAATTTACCAGGAACATCAGAGCCTGATGACAAACCCCAGGGAACAGCCTGCAAAGTCAGCAGGAGGGATCTGGTATGGAAGGGGACAAGGACTCACTGAAAAAGGCTCTGAAATGTTCAAAGGCTGACTAGGTGCAGAGTTAACTCCTAAGCCTACACCACAGCCTGTGTGATGGGCCAGCCTCCCTAAAGCACTCCCAGGACTGGTTTAGGAGCCTAAAGAGGCCAGTGTGACAGGCAGAGGGCTTCCTTCCGTGGCTGCCTGGCACACAGGCTGGGGGGCCACCGAGCTCCTACCTCCTGGGCGCTCGTGCCTGCCGTCCGTATGCAGCAGCATGGCGATGGGCATGCCCACGTTCTTCGACCTGCCAGCCACCACCACATTCTTCCCCAGCGTTGGGATGCCTGCGGAGGACGAGGTGGAGTCTTGAAAAACACACGCAAGCTGGAAGTTATAGCAGACAGCAGCCAAATACTGCAGCAGCAGCAGCTTACCAGTTCTCTTAATGATCTCCCACACCCCCCAGGGGGTAGCTGGCAGCATGGAGTACTGGTCGAGGCACATGCGCCCCACGTTTATCACATGAAAACCATCAACGTCTTTGTCTGGAGTCACAGCGTTGCAAATCTTGCGCTCATCAATATGCTCTGGAAGAGAACAAGAAGCTTTAACCCTAGAGATCAGCCAAAAACCTGCTCTTTGCAGACAGAGCCCTGACCTGCTGCACCAGTCCCTTCAAGAGTTTGGATGCTTGAAGCTACGCAAGACTTCCAGCAAGCTCAAGGATAACAGCTCCCAGCAGAAGGGAACTGGAACCACTCTGGGACTATAGCATTGCTCATGCAGAGGACATTTTTAGGCAGCCTCAGTGTCACAGAGTTCAAGCTTCTGGCCCTGGATGCTGATATTCTCTACACAAGAATAGATTTCTGTGACCCCCAGCAATTTAACTCGTACAGGCAGCTGTGTGATGGAGTAGCTGCATCAACATTAAGCTGCATCATTGCAGGATGCCACAGGATAGCCCCAGTGCTGCTACTCCTCTGTCACATACAAACCCTTAAAACCTGTATGTAAAAATGAAACAGGTGGAAATCTAGCTACTCACCAGGTAAAGGAAGCTGTACTAACAGGCCATCCACATTGGCATCGTTATTGAGTTTGCTGATCAAATCCAGTAGCTCCTCTTCAGTAACAGAGGCTGGCCTGAGGATGGTTTCACTGCTGATTCCTGCACAACCATTGAAAGCACCACGTTAGAGCCACACGTGCACAAGCAGGAGAGCAACTTTCTTAATCCATGTGGATTCAAGCTGCACCATTTCAATGCTCTATCAAATCTGATAGGCACATGCCAGGCTGGAGACCTTCACAAGTCTTGTGAGTTATGGTTAAGGACCATTATTGTACTTAGTGGGAAAGGCTACTTGAAATAAGAGACCCCAGAGTGCAGGGAGGGCTTGGAGAAACCAAACCAAAGGGTGCTACAACGAAGATGCAACTGCACATCCCCCATGCTCCCTCTTGACACAGAAAGAAGGGGCTGTTAGCCTAAAAATCTCAGGTCCAAAGGCAGCTTTAGCAGCACATAACCCAACCAAAAACTAAACCATTCATTGCCCCTAACCGCATTCAGCACATTTTCTCCAGGAGCATACTTGGCTGAACACTGAGCAGGACCTCAACTTGCAAGACTGGAGGCAGAGAGTAACAAGGCTGCTGAACAATGACTGCATCTCAGGCAGTTGAGGGAAAAAAGACAAATCAGAGCCCTGTCTGTGCTTTCTACAGCCCTAGAAGGGCCGCAAATCCACACTACAGAGCTTGATGTTGCCCTAAAGGATTCAAATGGCACAATGCACACATGAACCACGTTTATTAACTACATGCCAGGACAACAATGAAGGCAGTCAAGAGTCACAGCAAATGCTGAGGCAAATATGGACTGCCATGCAGCTGAGGTGAAAAGCTGCCAGATAGACAAACTCCAGAAAGTTTCCCCAGCCTCCAGTGTGGAGGAGTCCCGACTAAAGCAAGATAAAACAGTCACTTCCTCCACTTTCTCAGAACAGAGCACGAGACATACCCACATCAGCCGCCGCTTTGGTTTTGTTCAGTACGTAGGAGTGACTCGCTGGATTTTCACCGACAAGAACGACACTGAGGTGAGGCCTCTTGTTTCCAGCTGCTACCCACTGCTCAACCTCATGACGGGCTTCCTGTCTGATCTGCCGGGCCAGCTTTCTTCCAGAAATCACAACGGCATCATTTCTGCAACGGAGAAAGCATTACCAAAGCAGTCAGCATCATTAGGACCATCAAATCCGAGCTGTGCAACACAAACACGGAAAAACAGATGCTGAGGCAGAAAGGGCTCTTTTACTCGAGCTCTGTACAAGACTATTGCACCTTTATGCCAAATCAAGTGAAGCAGCATATTTCAGTCTTAGTTTACAGCTCTGCTGTCCAAAGCCAGGATCAGCAAACAAGACTGACAGAGGGACCAACTTATTTGTGCAGCCTGAGTAAGCGTACACACTATTCTCTGCAAGGCCAAGGGTCCATGTGGATCGTTCGCCTGCTGCATATTTCAAGCTAAGATACTATTAGCTCCCATTTTTAGAAAGCCAGTCACCCATTCCTTACAAAGGCATGACAGCTTCACTACAAAGGACTTACACAAAGCAGAACTCACTCCACTTCAGTGGAGCTTCCATCATCAGAGGTCTGTTGAGTAATTCTGGCCTGCTGGACGCAGCTCAGGAGGCACAGTGTGCTGTGCTTTGTATCCAGTGGTGTTCCCAGAGATCCTCGTCCCCCACAAATTCCTCAGCAAGACCATCCGCCCATCTAGCACAGCACGCACCTTGCTCAAGGCAATCTGATGCCCTCCCCTGCTCAAATAACTGCTGCCACTGCTACAGCTGTGTCTTCAGGCTGTTAAAGCTGGGCTGGGGGTGCATGGTTTCACCCCACCAAGGCTCCACCGTCTAGCTGAAGTAGAAGGGACGTTTGCCTGTTTGAACCATGTCAAGACAGCTCCTCACACACATTTCTGGTCTAAATTGGTAACAGAAATACCCAGTGACTGCCAAATACATTCCAGGCAACCGAACACCCTGCAGTATATAGAAAGGCTGGCTTGACCTACAGCTGGCTGGGAGGCCACAGCTGCCAGTCCCCACTCACAACAGGCTGCCCACAGCACTCACACTTGGGTTTTTTCTTCAGGTTACAGCCGTAGCTCTTATTCTCATTCACTAACCCCTTTGCAAGGGAGTTCACTTTCACAAGCTTCACTTTTAGGCTTCACCACAGCATTTAAGTCTTGCCTTGCTGCAAGGCCTCATGACAAGCACCTTACTTGCCCAATTGTTCTTACCTCTGAGCCGGAGCAAAGACGCTCCCCGCAGCGTTACTATCATTTACAGCGCCTTCCCCAAAACGCAAGGATCTGCCCATTTCTGAAGCAATCGCTAAGCAATATGCATCACAACCCCACAAGCTACTCAGCTTGCCACAGGAACCCAGGAGACAACTGACCCACGGGAGAAAGCCCAAGAGCACCAAGCAGTTTTCAACTCTCCCTGCACCACGCCATCCAACGGGAACAAGGTGAATTGCTGCAGTTTCTCCTCAAAAATCCACCAGCTGCCTGGTGTACACACTTTCTCCTACCATGATCCCACATTAAATCCAACACTGGTGTTTTCTGACCTTCTCTAGGTACAATCCTGATCATGGAGCTCTGGGAAACCTGCTACCAGGGAAAAACACCACAAGAGCTGCTCCAGACCCACACCTGCACAGAACAGCCACGAGGCACCATCCCAGGTAAAAAATCCTTTTGCCTAGATACTTACTTAGAGGTGCAGAGGATCATTTATGCTTTCTTAATACCTGCCCTACTCAAATATGCAGTTCTCCCCATTTACTGGGAATTAAATGTTACTTCATCCCTAATAGCAACCGCCCCAGTGAAGCCTATTTAATAATAGCAAGTAAAAACCCATCCCTGACCAGCTCACTCTACAGGCTCTCTAATTCTTATTTTAGCTTCAGAACTATGCTACCATATGCCTAATTGGGAATTATTACAAGTATCTGGCAAGCTAGGGAAAGGAGAATTCAGTAGATCAGAGGCACCTCGTATCTACCCGAATCTTCCCCCTTACTAAGCCTGAGGCTGGGGTGCCCAGCCTGGGCTCCCAGAAGATGGGGACAGCCACCAGCAGCCCCCCTCTGAGCTCCAGGGAAGCCAAAAATAAAAGCTTCGAGCCCTCTTTAGGGTAGGGAAAAGCAATGAAACCAGAGCACCCTCAAGGGCTGTTTCGGTGCATTAAAGCAAAACCCACGCGGGGCGATGCAGAAAGTCAGCCGGTGCACGGGCAGGATGCTCGAGGAGGTGTCCGGTCCCTCTCACACCGCTTAAATCCGGGCTGAGCCTGGGGCCGGGCCCCGAGAGATGACTCCCGGGGGGACCCGGTAGCCCCGGTGCCCCCTTGCCCGGGTAGATGGGGGAAGAGCCCGGCACTCGCCATGCAAGGAGGGAGCGCGATTTCATCAGCCTGCAGCGCCCGGGGCTGCCGCTGGGGGCCCACCCCATTCATTCCCGGTACGGGCAGCGGCGAGCCGAGTCTCTCTACCCCTGCCCGGTGGGCGAGGGGGCGAACGGGCAGGGCATCCCCCTCCTCAGCCCGCCCCACGCCGGGACGCGGCGGAGGGGGCGATGGGGCGGGGGGAAGATGGTCGGGGTGCGCTTTTTCCCCCCCCACACACACACACAAACAAACCCCCGGGCCGTACCTGGGCGCGCTGAGGTGGAGGCGGCGGCCGCGGGGCCGGAGCGCGGCGCGGCTGAGAGCGCGGAGCGGGCAGAGCGCGGTTGACATGGCAGCGGCGCGGAAAAACACGCGGGAAGGGGCGGCGGGACGGCCCCTCCGCGCCGCCCGCCGCCTTATATAGCGCGGAGGGGCCGACCCCTCCCCTCCCCGCGGCTGGCGGGAGCCAATCGCCGCGGCGAGAGGTGCGGAGGGGCGAGTTGAATGGCGGCGGAGAGGGAGGGGACGGGACGGAGCGGGGGCTCGCCCGCTGCGATTGGGGTAAAGGGAGAGAGCGGGTGGGCGGGGCGGAAGGAGAACGGGAGTATTGATTGGATGAGGCGGGCGGGGTTTCTCCTCCCTAATTGGGCACGGCGGCGCTCATTGGCTGGGCCCAAGGGAGAGAGGGGCTGCAAGAGGGGCTGCGTGTTGCGTGAGGCGAGGGGCGGGGCCAGGGCTGAGCCTGGGTTAAAATCGGGGGTCGGGGCTGGGGTCAAGTTTAGGGCTGAGATTTGGGTGGGGTTAGGCTGGGATTTGGTCTGGGGGCGAGAATGGGGTTGGGGAAGGGGCTGGGGTTGGAGTTAGGGCTAATTGCGGGGCTGGGATGAGATTAAATATGGGCCTGCAAATACACCTAAAACTGGGCTGAGATTGAGATTAGGGCTAGGGTTAGGTTGGGTTTAGGGCTAAACGTTCATACACTAGGATAGGTAGTTTAGCTGCTGAAAAATAGGGCAGATTTTCACCACAGGATGTCACCGGTATCATCCCACCCCTCCTCCAGCATCACAAAACCTGGGTGGAGGGGGAACTGGGCGCCTGCAGCTCCAGATGCTCCCAGCACACCCAGCTCCGGGCAGTCCCAGCACAGTGGGCTGGGAAACCCAATCCCACCCCCGAGTGGGTGTGGGGTGGCTGTCCATCAGCACCCACCGATGGTGAGAGGGAGCTGTTACTCACCATTTGTGTTTCCCTGCCGTTTCTGGCTATGTTCTCTGCACGTGGAAAAATTAAATGCTTTTTTTGCAAAGCTAAATACCATTAATATTTTATAGCACTGGATTGGGTTAGGGTGGGTGTGAATGATGCTCCCCAGTATCAGGGAGAAGGAAGAAAGAAACCTGCACAGAGAGGAGGTAGAAGAGTCTGTAAATCCTTGGAATCCCATGCTGAGCGAGTTTAGCTGTCTCCCATGTGTTTATTTTCGTTAACTTTACCCTATTTACCCTTTAAGCTATGAAAGGTGGCCTTAAACGTTTCTCCCGAGGTCACTGAGGTGCTGGGTAAAGTCTGGGGAGGTTTTTTATACCTCCCTGAATGTCAAATAAATACGGAGGATCACCAGCAGCCATCCCCAGGATGTGCCCTGGCACCACACGTGCCGCTTGTGAGAGCTGCGGGAGGTGGCCTGGCCATGAGCTAAAATAACCTCATGGTGTTTATTTTAGTTTTTAACTTGTTTAGAGCAGCTACAGTCACTCCCTGGTTTTAAAAGTAATTTTTTTATGTTAATAATAGCAGCTCCTTGCTAAGACAAGGGCTGGAGGGGTCACATAGCTAAAAAAAAAAACAAAAAAAAAAGGTGAAAACCTGCAGAAATCAGCCCTAGGAAAAGGGTTCGACAAACTTTAGAGTGTTTAGGGGGAATTTCAGACTGTGAAGTTGGTCTGGGGGGGCTGGATGGGTTTGGCCTGGTGCGATACTGGAAAGGAGGCACTGAAGTAAGATGGTGGTGGTTGGGGGGGGGGTGTAGAGAAGCATTTGTGAGCTCAGAGGCAAGCAGGGGAAGGGAGGTCCACGGTGGGGGGGTGCCCAGGCCCATGAGGAAGGGTTTTTGGGGTCCCCAGGCCCGTGAGAAAGGTTTTTGGGGGTCCCTAGGCCCATGGGAGGGGTCTCTGGAGGTGTCCAGGCCCATGGGGAGGGTGTTTGGGGGTCCCCAGGCCTATGGGGAGGGTCTCTTTGGGCGCCCAGGCCCATGAGGAAGGTCTGGGGGGGGGGGGGGGGGGGTGTCCCCAGGCCCATGAGAAGGGGTTTTGGGGGTCCCCAGGCCCGCGGGTGGCCGAGGCCCGCACAGCCCCCACGCCAACGTCGTTCCCCGGAGCTGTTGCCATGGTGATGGCGCCGTGCGAGGCCCCGCCCCCGACGCCCGAAGCCCCTCCCTCTCCTCACCCCCTCTTCCCCCCCACCCACCCCCCCCGCCGTCGTTCTCGCGAGAGTTCGGCGGCGGGGCGGGGCGGGCGCTGCCCGCAGGGAGCTGGGGCCGCGCGCGAGCAGCCGCCGCCGCCGCTCTCACCTCAGCCCGGCCCGGCGCCTCGGCCCGGCTCCGCTCGCCATGAGCTTCCTCTTGTGAGTGCCCGCGTCCCGGGGAAAGGCGGCCCCCAGGGGCTCTGAAGGGCTTTGTGGGGAGAAAAGCCTTTGGGGAGGGGCTGTGAGGGGCTTTGGTCTTGAGGAAAGGCGGGGGGGGGGGGGCGCTTGGGCTTGGCCTGTGAGAGGTTTTTGTGGGGGGAGGAAGCGTTTGGAGAGGTCTTGAGGGCTGGGTCTGTGAAGAACTTGAGGGGGAGGAAGGATTTTTGGGGGGGGCCCTGCGGGAAGATGCTGGGCGTGTTTGGGACCTTGAGGAAGGTGTCGTGGAAAGGGGTCGGGGAGGGTCCTGAGAGGAGTCCTGGGCCTCGAGGAAGGCTTTTGGGGGGGGGGGGGGGGGTCAGAGGTCCCGGCGGTGCCCAGGAGCTGAAGAAGGCCTTGTGATGAGGTACGGGAGGGCTTTTAAGGGAAGTTTTAGGGGGAAGCCCAGTGTGGCTTTGGGCAGAGACCCTGGGGGTTTAGGGGTGGGGAGTCTGGGTGCATATGGAGAGGGCGAAGGCTTTGAAGAGATTCCCTGGGGATGTATGAGGAGGGACCGAGGAAGAGTTTGGGAGGAGCACAGTGCTGTGGAGGAAGCCCTAAGGGTGTAGTGGTTTTGGGGGGCAGGAAGCCTTGGAGCAGTCAGCAGAGGGGCGAGAGGGGGAAGGACGGGAGGTGGAGGGAGGCTGGCAGCAGCAGCAGGGTGGCCCTGGAGGATAGGCACACTGGGGAATGCTGTGGAGGGCTTCGGGGGGTGTGTGAAGGGAGGGGAAGCATTTTGAGGGACAGTCTTAGAGGGAAGGCTCTAGGGAGGTGATGTCTTGTGAGAGTTAATCCCTCCCAGGTGGTGAGAATTTGAGGGGTTGGTCTTCCAGGGGTATTGGGGGAGGCCCTGAGGGGGTGGGGGTGTCTGTAGGGATGCTCTGCTTTAGTGGGAGGCCTTGAGAGTAGGAAAGGGGCGTTGCAGGTGTGGGGTGAGGCAGAAAAGAGGAGGCCCTTCTCCCGTGGGTATGGACCTTCCACCTGGGTGGGTCTTATCCTACATCTGTGCAAAGGGTGTTGGCTCTTGGTGCTGGCTGGTGTTTGTGTGAGGGGCTGCCCGCCTGTGAGGTGGGGCAGGTCTGATTGCAGGGGGAATCCATTAATTTGGCATGTGGTGTAGAAAATGCATCTTTAATGAGCTGTTAGGGGGTGAGCTGTTGCATAACTGTGTTGTAGATATGAAGGCTTATAAAGTGTGAGAGGGCTTCTGGCTCTTAAGGCCTGGTAGGTGCCGTGGCTGAGGACTAGAGGCATTTTGTGGCATAAGAAGGGGCTGGTGAGCCTCTTCCTAGGGCTCACAGTGTGCTGAGTCTGCCTTTTGGGACCTTCTGCTTAGGGTCAGCAACATGCTGGGCCTGCGTTTTAGCTGTAGCAGGAGGCTGTGGCTTGGTTTAAGAGTGAGCTGGATCGAAAGGTCATTTATTTCTGCACTGAATGTTGCACAAAGCTGTAAGGTTGCACCAGGAAGCTGCTGCGAGGCGTGTGCTAGCCGAACCCTCCCGGCTGTGTGTGGCGAGATGCCGGCAATGCTGAGCAGCACATGCTGGAGAAGCCCATTTCCCCCGAGCTGTGTTTTGGCCCTGGCTGTCCCGTCGTTTGCATCCTCCTTGCTTGAAAGCAGAGAGCTGGCAGAGTCTGAAAGTTAGTATTTTGTGGTTGCGAGTTACCGAAATTCATCCAGTTTTTGGCAGTGTTTGCTGTTTGGGGAGAGGCGGTGGCTCCTCTGGCCCCGTTGGAGGGATGAGGGGTTTGGTGCAGAGTTGTGTGATGGCTCGGCTGCTGAGCACAGCTGTCGGTATGATACAGCAAGAGAAGGTTACAATGATGATTTACATTTCAGTGCTGGAGTCTATTAAGTCGCTATTTTTAGCGAGCTGTTTCCTATGGTGCATTTGAATGCTGAGTGTCTAATACTTGCTGCTGTCAAACTGACCTAGTGGCAGTCAGCAGGTTGTTTCGTTCCCTGGCAGAGTTTTGTGGGCTTTTCTTTCCGTGATTGAAAGCAACTGTTCCTTGATGAGTCTTTGGGCCTTTGCACAGAATGTTTGTGACTTTTAAAAAGGGTGAGTGAAAGAGGGAAACGCGTGGGCGTTTCTTTTGTGACGCTGTCAGGAAACACTTCAGCTTGCACGTAGGATCTGTTCACCCCAACGGTGGGGGAAATGGGGAAGGGCCAGCGTCATCCCGAGTAAAAGTGCTGGTAATATGGGGAATTTTTCTGGGAAGGGAATGCTGTTAAAGGACTAACTGGAAATGTTTTCTCTCTTGTCAGTGGGAGTCGATCTTCGAAAACATTTAAACCTAAGAAGAACATTCCCGAAGGCTCCCATCAGTATGAACTCTTGAAACATGCAGAAGCGACACTGGGGAGCGGTAACCTTAGACAAGCGGTTATGTTGCCGGAGGGAGAGGACCTTAACGAGTGGATCGCAGTTAACAGTAAGTCCTACGAAAGAGGGACCCACCTGAGTGTGGAGGTGGAGTGGGAAAGGCAAGAATCTCTGGTTTTTATCCTTAAAAGAACCTAGAACTTCCCCAACTGAAATTGTTCTCCCAGGCATGGTCTGTTGAGGTAACCAAGTTGGGGAAAAAGGAAAGTAAGTGGTGTGAGGTGCTGACAGCAGCCAGGTCCTGTGTCAGAGGGGTGTTGTGCTCTGAAAACGTGCACAAAGAGAGAAACAAACCTGTGCTCTCGTGGTTTTGGGGTGGGATTTTTTTGAGTTCAGACTTGCAAAGATGGTTAGGTTTGTGGTTATTTTTGTACTGGGGGGTAAGCCCCGAGTATCGGTATCTGCAATTACAAAGTCAGTGCTGTGGGCTGCAAGATTGGTGACAGTGAGTAGTCCGGGGAAAATGCAGAACTGTATTCTCCACTGAACTCTAGCTTTGTGGAGTTTTTTCATTTTATTATTGCTGCATGCATAGTTTAAAAAGCCAAATACTACAAATCTGTTTTATGTATAGCAATTGATGTCCCTGACCTTGAACTCTGCCTCTTTGGAGGTTAGAGGAGGAAGAAGTAGTTTTGAGCAATAGAAAGCAGTAAGTCAGGCCAAGAGTCTTCAACCTAAGGAAGGTCTCTCCTGTATTATCAAAATCAATCAGGTTTTTGAGGTACTGTCATTTTTTTAAAGGTGCCTGCAAGCTGAAGCACATGTTTCCAAGGCATGGAAGGCTGAGTGGAGCTTTGTGCCGTACGAATCGGTTAGGGGCGGTAGCCAGACAGTAAAAAATTGACAGATTCAGATTCCTAGATGGTCAAAATGTCTCGAAGTCGTCAGCCACGTGACACTGTATGGAAGGGGAATGTTTGTTTTTGCTGAGAGCTTTGCGGCACGTTCAGCCCCAAGACCGCAATCCTCAGAGGCTGCATCAGCGGGACAAGAGCAAACCGGTGCTCCGGTCCACTTTGTGTTTGCACTTTGAGTAAACCTGATGCGTTTCCTTTCCAGCGGTGGATTTTTTCAACCAAATCAACATGCTGTACGGGACCATTACGGAGTTCTGCACGGAGGCGAGCTGCCCGGTCATGTCTGCAGGACCAAGGTAAGAAGTTCACTGAAGTCCATGGCTGCAATTTAAATGTGGTGAAGTAGGTGGGTGTGTGGGTTGCTCGAGCGTGTGTAGAAAGAAGCTAAAAAGAGGATGGGATGTGTCCAGATGGGGCTGAGGCGCAGCATTGTGCTCCCTGGTGTCTTTTACCCATGCGTGAAGGCACACTGCCTGTTAGGGAGGCTGCGTGGTGTCAGTAGCCATCAGTTTGCCTGGCATGTTGAATATCTGTCCACAGGAAGCATGTGTGGGGATCTCTTTTCCCCCTCTGTTGATTGGGTCCCAATGTTTGGAAGCTGAAATGGTGTGTTTTAAGGAAAATGAAAGATCTAACTTGACTGGAAGTGTCTGGTCTTGCTGTCAGTCTTACTTTAACCTCTCAGTGTGCCGTCCCGCAGAGCCAGTGCTCGGAGAGGCCGTAGCGTGGTTTTTCCAAGCGCAAGCAATTCTAAAGATGCTGCTGCCAGCACGGGGCAGGACACGAGGCGGGCGAACGCGCGGGTCAGGTTACTGTACGGTGCGTGCGACAGCTGTACGGGGAGGGAAGGGCAGCCTGGCACTGCTGCTGTTGCAGAGTTAAAGCCAGGAAGGGAACCTCACGCTTATCCTGGCACGGGCTGTGAAAGGGCACAAAGTGTGTGTTGTCCCAAGGCGGTTTTAAGGGCTCTTGTCCCTCGAGTCACACTGCTGCTCGTCGGGCAGGTGAGAAACACGGGCAGTGGTTTTCAGGAGGCACGTTTAGCTAGCTGACGTAGCATAACGGCTTTGTAGGAGGTCAGGGCAGTGTGAGAGGTGGAAAGGAAATAGTGAAGGTCTATTTGGGATGCCTCGTTGTTTTTAGATGTGAATACCTGTGGGGAGAGGAACGTTACGTGTTGGTTCTGCACTTGTCTGTTTTGCTGAGGTGAAGCTACAGCAGGATATTGTTTATAAGGCTGCTCGAGGCTCTTTGCTTTTCAGGGCAGCAGCGGGAGTCTGGCTGGTGGGCAGTGTCTGTAGAGTGCTGTGTAACATCCTGCCCAGCTTTTCTACCCAGAAGTGTCTAGATTGCAAGTTCGTGCTTCTATATTTGGGGACATTTCCTGTAACGACTTCCTGTTTAAATTACACCGTTTGTTTTCGCTTGTTTGTCGTTCACGAAGTGACACTTGAAACATGGGGGTTTTTCTCCTGCTTTTGAAGGATTTTGCAAAAGGCCTCAGAGAAAGCAGGTCGTGTTGTGTGGCGTTACAGTCAGTGTCTGCCCCTCTTTGGAGGAGCCGTGGGACTGATAAGCACGTGTGTTGATTTGAGCCGGCGGCTTCCAAAAGTCTTTGGCTACTGTGTGGCCCTGGGAGGATGGTCTCCTGGAGGAGTCAGCTATCTTGTGTGAGGGGAGAGGGAGTGCTGAATTCCTGGGGGGTGTCTGAAAGCATAGGTGAATTAATTCAGATGATGGACGATGGCCCCAACACATCCTCTGGCCAATTTTTGTCTCGTTTTAAGGAAATGTTGATGTCAGAGGAGGTTGCCACAAAGCTGAAGTTGACTTTGGAGAGCCAAACCCTGCAGATGATCGCTGCAGTGGTCAGGATGGAGGTGCTAACTCTGGGACTGTTCTGTTGTGCTCGAGAAACTTGGAAAGGCAAAGCTTCTGAGGAGTACGAGTGTTGCAGCGTCACTACTGAGATAAGGAGGAAGCTGCGGGACTCGAAAATGCAATTTTGCCTCTCGGAGTAAAGAATTTCTTTTCCTTCTCTCTCCTCGTAGGTATGAGTACCACTGGGCAGATGGCACCAACATAAAGAAGCCGATCAAGTGCTCGGCTCCAAAGTACATCGATTACTTGATGACGTGGGTGCAGGACCAGCTGGATGACGAAACGCTCTTCCCGTCAAAGATCGGTAAGTGTGGCTGCGCGATACAACAGGCCTTGCATACGGGACTGCTGCTGGAACATCTCGCGTTGCAATTTTTTGATCAAACTGAAGGACTCCAGCTGTGCACGTTGGTGTGTTTCAGGGGTCCCTTTTCCCAAGAACTTCATGTCAGTGGCCAAGACGATCCTGAAGCGGCTGTTCCGCGTGTACGCCCACATCTACCACCAGCACTTCGATTCCGTCATGCGGCTGCAGGAGGAGGCCCACCTCAACACCTCCTTCAAGCACTTTATCTTCTTTGTGCAGGTGAGTTGCAAAACAGTGGCCGGTCGCCTGTCTCTGGGGTTTCTTGTTCCCTGTTTGCCTTTAAAGAGAGTTGGATTTTAAGTGCCTCCTCCCTCTTTGAAGATCTACAGCTGTGGCGAGCGCAGGAAGATACACTTGCCTCCTGCCCTCCGTACTGTGCAAACTGTGCAGCTGTGGCACTGTGGGTTTGTGGTCTTGGGGTTTGTTTTTTTTCTTTTTTTTGCAGGAAGCATGGCTGAGTTGGCTGTAAATGGTTGAATTTCCCTCTCAGGTTTTGTCTGTCAGCCTGCAGTAAAAGAAACCAGGCTCAGAGGAGAACCTGGGGGTTTTGTAGCTCAAGAAGCGGTTCGGAAGTAGCAGCAGCACCTTTCCTTTCCCTGCCAGTATTTTCACAGCCTGTTCTGTGACTGCACGTGCCACTGGCTGTGCAGAGCAGCATAGTGCTTAGCGATGCATCAGAAAAAGTTTTGTTGCTTTTCAATGCTAGAATTTCTGCGCAGAAGGAGAGGACAGGCGGCTGCTGCAGCACTGCCTGCTTGGTGTTTCTCTCAGGAGCCAGCAGGCACTGACACGGCGAGTTCCCAGCACACGTACAGTAGCTGGACATGTTTTCCAACAGCTTTTTGAGAGGTGCCTTTAGTTTTTGTGTTTTTGTTTTTTTTTTTTTTTTTTTTTTTTGCCCTTGCCAGGAATTCAACTTGATCGACAGGCGGGAGTTGGCTCCTCTGCAGGAACTGATTGAGAAGCTGGGCTCCAAGGACAGATAAAGTTTCCCCGGGAGGACCCTTTCGGCCTCTCCTTTCCGCTTTGTACGCCAGCCACTTCTACGCTTCGCCTTCAGCGACGCAGGCCCCGAGGTGCCAGGCATCGCTTCTACCGTGCAGCCGCAGCCCGTGGTGTTTTCGAAGCTGTTGGCTGCGCTGTGGTGACGTGCCCTGGGTAGTCCACTTGGTTTTCTAGGCTCTGTGCTTGAGTCTGGTTGAAGATGGGACTCTGCTGCAGAGGTTTTGTTCCCCGCAGGCGTGGGGTGAAGCTCAGAGTGCTGCGTGGCTGCTTCCTCCTCCCAGAGGCAAAGTTTTCCTCTGGACCCCATGGACACAGCGCTGTGAGCAGCTCCCCTGGGCGAGAGTGGAGTGGCTCTGCTTATTTTTGGAAGTGCTTTTTTTTGGATGAGAGGTGCACTTAGAGCCTTAAGCTCCCCTGGGCAGCAACAGCCTTGTGGGGGGAGGAAAAGAAGTGCCTGGCCCAAGGGGAGCCCGGCCCTGGGCTGGAAGAGCAGCGCTCGGGTGTTCCCAGCAGCGGGGGGCCCAGGGAGGGACCCTGCTCTGTGGCAAGGCAATAATAAAGTTTTTCCTTCCTGCTCTTCTTTCAGAGGATGAGGGGGTGTCTCATCTTCTTCCCCCCCCCCCCGTCCCCTTGCAGACCCCCCCGCCTCCCCCCAGCCTTACACAGTTGCCTTAAATGCAGCACTTGGATGTTTTTAGAGAAGAAGGTAGTCAGGGCTGCAGCAGCCTGCCCCAGGTCAGCCTCTCGGTGACAGCATCTTTATTGACGGCTCCGCGCCAGCGAGCCTCAGGGTTTGGGGGTGGAGGTGAAGATGCGCAGCCCGTGCATGCTCTTGATCTCCTCGCTCAGCGCCTACAAGACAAGCGCCAGCCCTGGGGGGTCAGGTGCAACCCGGCGTCACCCCGCGCTGCGCACACCCCCAGTGCCTCAGTAGGTCTGTACTGTTGTTTTATTAATGGCACAGCCCGCCCTTAGTGCTGTGTAGTGCTTTAGTAGGGGGCTGGGTGCTAGCTAGGAGGATGAGGGCTGGGGCTGTTGGTACTGGGAGGGGGAAAAGGGGGAGCTGTGCTGTGAGGATGGGGGGCGGGGGAAAAGGGGGAGCTGTGCTGTGAGGATGGGGGGCGGGGGAAAAGGGGGAGCTGTGCTGTGAGGATGGGGGGCGGGGGAAAAGGGGGAGCTGTGCTGTGAGGATGGGGGGCAGGGTAAAGTGTGTGGCCACAACATGAGTTCCGCATGCTGAGAGTGCATGTGCACATACCCCCAGGTGTAAGTGTTACACACACCCCGCCCCTACCCCAGTTAGGAGGAGGGCTGCCCTGCTCAGCACAGCCCTTTTCCCCACTACTACTCAGCTACTCACAGCGCGCAGGCACAGCCCTTCGCCCCGACACCGAGCACCTAGCGATTGGGGGGGCTGTGCGCACACCCCCTGGTGTCAGCGCCCTGCTGTTAGTGCTACACCCACCCGCAGTGAGCGCTGCACACGCAGATGATATTTTTCCCTCATCAAGGAAGAGCCACGCTGTTTATTACTGGGAAGGAAGGGTGGGCTACACTCCTCCCCGCTCACCCTGCGTGCGGGTGCTCGCGGGGGTGTGTGTGGGTGTTTACACACCCCACCAGCGTGGAAGTTACGCCCTTTATTAGCAAAAAAAAAAGGGAGCACTGTGGTATTTACTAGCGGGCAGGAAGTAAAGGTGCTCAAGCCCCTCACCTGGGGTGTGTGGTGAGCTACAGCCCCCGGGCAGGCGATGGTTGCGCTGCCTGAGGCAGCGGGGCTGCTGCAGCCCAGTTGTGTTGCTGGGAAGGCAGAGCTGGGGCACTGGTGCCCCCCCCAGCCTCCTGCTTCCCCCCCCCTCACCTGGTTCACCATCTGGTGCTGCTGCACTGTTCGCTTCTCTCTGAAATCCTCCGACTCGATGTGAATCTCGTACATGGCGCCGCAGCCGCCTGGAAAAATAAAACTTGAGCAAAGATGAGGGGTCTTTGTGGTGTCGTCCCCCCCCGCCCCCTCCCTCCGTGTTCATTTGAGGGGTCCCCACAGCACCCAGGGGGGGGCTGGGGGCAGATTCAGCTCCTCCCTCACGAAGCGCAGGGGTGGTTTGGGGTGGAAGAAGAAAATAAAGAGCAATAAAGAGCGCTTTTGTTTTGTTTTCCCATACCTGATATATCCACCACTCTGATGGCGGAGGCCCGGGGGAATTTCTCCCGCAGGACCCGGGTGACTCGGGCCTCGCCGTCCGTCTGCGAGGCGAAGCTTCGCCAGGTGCTGCAGCGCAGGAAGAGCTGGGGGGGGGGGGCGCAAAAACACTGAGAGACCCTTCGAGGAAGGGGGGGGCGGGAAGGACACGCACACACCCACACGCGTGGGGGGCGGCCGCCCTCCTCGGTAACGGTGGGGGGGCCCTTGGGATGCGGTGTGGGGGGGGTGTCGCCTCCCACAGTACCGGGGACACTTACCGTGAGGAGGCGCGGGCCGCGCTTACCGGTACCGGCTCGGGGGGGCGGGGTGTGGAGGAAGACAGACACCCCCCCCAACACCCCACACTCCTCCACACACCCCCCCCCTCCCAAAATAACGTGGGAGGACAAAGCGTCCCCGCCCCCCCCCCCCCCCCGGCGGCCTGGGAGGGGGCAGGGGCAGCGGGAGGGACGGACAAACGGACACGGCAGAGGACACGTACCGACCCGCGACCCCACAGCCCCGCCGCGGCGGCCATCCTGGGCGGGAGGGGGGGGCGGTGCCACCCGCGGCGCAGCCAATCGCCGCGCGTTTCGCAGCAGGGGGGCGGGGCCGGCGCTGCACCGCCGCTGCCGCGACCCCTGGCGGCTCGGAGGACCTTGGAGAGGAGTTGGCCCGACACCCACTCACGGGGGGCGGGGGGGGGGGGGGGGAGGGCCCAATCCTGACACCCGCGGGGGGGGACCCGACCCCCACCCCCCGATCCCCCATGAGCCGGGCTCTATCCTGCCCCCCCCCATCCCACACAGGGCCCCAGCCTCCATCCCGCCATTCCATAGACAGGGCCCCATCCTCCCCGCCCCCCCCAAAAAGAAAGCCCCCACCCCAAGACATGACCCATTCCTGACACTCCCCCACCCCCAAAAGGGCCCGATCCTGACACCCCCCCCCCAAAAAGGGTCCCATCCTGATCCCCCCATTCCCATACCCAGGGCCCCATCCTGCACCCCCCCCACCTCCAGCCCCCCTCTATCAGGAAACAGAAAAACAGGGGCTGTGTGTTGAGTGCAAAAAATAAATATAAAATTTATTAAAACACCCACAATATTTTAAAGATATCAGGAATAATACATTTCGCGGCCCGGCCGGCCGCGTGTAACTTAGAATAAAATACAAATTAAACAAAAAAAAAAAACAAACAAACAACAAAACAAAAAACAAAACCAAAACCAGGGAAGGAAGGGAGGGGAGGATCCAAACTTGTAATTTTTAAACATCCTAAAAAATAAATTTACCAAAAACACTGGGGAGGGGGAAAAGGGAAAAAGAAAAGGGTGTTAAGGGGAAAAAAAAAAAAAAAAAAAAACAAAACAACAAAACAACCCACGAAGAGGGGAAAAAAGAAAAAGGGAAAATTATACAAAATAAAATTATCAGCATAAATTTACTGTCCTAGAAGTATCTACAGTTTAATACACATTAATCCTATTGCCTTGAGACATGGGAAAAAAATCTACCGGTCCTCGATCCGCCCCGGAAAAAAACTTCATTTCAAGTAACCACAGTCCCGAGCCGACCAAGAAATCTTCAAGTGTGAATTTTTCGGAGCCGCCGGGACACCCCCACGGTGTCCCCCCCCTCCGCCTGCCGCCGTCCCACCTCCCCTCCTCAATTATCCCAAAAAAAAAAACAAACCCCAACAAAATGCCAAAAATAAACCCCCCGCCTCTGACCGAATTCCCGAATCTGAGAAGAAACAGCGCTTTAGTTTTAAATTTGGAATTATTAACTCTTTTTTTTTTTTTTTTTTTTTTTTTTTGTGCTACGGTGCAAAAACCCACCAGCCCAAAAAAAAAAAAAAAAAATTGCTCCTGGAATAAAAATGAGGCTGAAATTACGGCGGTTTAGTAATCCCTGAAGGATGCGGAAAAATGAGGAAAAACCCAGGCGGAAAGGGATAAAGGAGGGCAAAAAAAAAGAAAAAAAAAAAAAAAAAGAAAATTAAGGAAGAAACACCGCTGCGAAAGGATCCCTGATTTCGGAAAGATTCACCCCAGTTTCGCTCGCCTTCGCTGCCGCGGCGCCGTGGGGGGCTTGGGGGGGGGTTGAGGTATTTGCCTTGGTTTGGGGGGCGCGGGGGAGCTGCTGCCCCGGCGCTGACGGGAAGCCAAAGGGGAAGAAAGTAGCACCAATAAAACCCCAAAAAAAAAAAAATGGAAAAAAAGGGGGGAAAAAAGGGGAAAAGAAAGAGACGGGCAGAAGCGGGATGCCCGGCTGAGCCCTCGCCGTGGGGGAGACACCAGCGATTTGGGGAGGGGAACGAGTCCGGGGGGGCTGGGGGGGAGCGCGGTGCTGAGCACGGTGCTGGGCGACCCTGTGGCGGGAGCGGGCTGGGCTCATGCAGGGGGGGCTGCGTGCCACGGGGTGAGGGTGCCCGCGTGCAGGGGGGGTGCTGGGGGGGTGCAAGGTGCACCCCAGCACCGTGGCCGTGCGGGGTGGGCGAGCGCCATGCCCGAGCGCCGTGGCCACACATCACGGGCAAGCACCGTGCCTGAGCGCAGTGGCCACACAGGGTGGGCGAGCACTGTGGCTGAGCACGGTGGCCAAGCACCGTGGCCAGCACAGTGGGCGAGCACCGTGCCTGAGCACTGTGGCCACACATCATGGGCGAGCCCCGTGCCTGAGCGCCGTGGCTGCACATGGTGGGTGAGCAACGTGCTTGAGCGCCGTGGCCAAGCACCATGGCCACACATCATGGGTGAGCACCGTGCTCAAGCACCGTGGCCAAGCACTGTGGCCACGCATGGTGGGCAAGCACCGTGGCCAAGCACTGTGGCCACACACGGTGGGTGAGCACTGTGCCTGAGCACCGTGGCCACACATCATGGGCGAGCACCGTGCTCGAGCACCGTGGCCACTATGGTTGCGCATGGTGGGTGAGCACCGTGCTCAAGCACCGTGGGCAAGCACCGTGCCTGAGCACCATGGCCACACATCATGGGTGAGCACCGTGCTCGAGCACCGTGGCCAAGCACTGTGGCCACACATGGTGGGCAAGCACCGTGCCTGAGCGCCGTGGCCACACACGGTGGGTGAGCACTGTGGCTGAGCACCGTGGCCAAGCACCATGGCCACACATCATGGGTGAGCACCGTGCTCAAGCACCGTGGCCAAGCACTGTGGCCACACATGGTGGGCAAGCACCGTGCCTGAGCGCCGTGGCCACACACGGTGGGTGAGCACTGTGCCTGAGCACCGTGGCCACACATCATGGGTGAGCACTGTGCCTGAGCACCGTGGCCGCACATCATGGGCGAGCACCGTGCCTGAGCGCCGTGGCCACACACAGTGGGTGAGCACTGTGCCTGAGCACCGTGGCCACACATCAAGGGTGAGCACCGTGCTCGAGCACCGTGGCCAAGCACTGTGGCCACACATGGTGGGCAAGCACCGTGCCTGAGCGCCGTGGCCACACATCATGGGTGAGCAACGTACTCGAGCACCGTGGCCAAGCACTGTGGCCACACATCACGGGCAAGCACCGTGGCCAAGCACCATGGCCACACATCATGGGCGAGCACCGTGCCTGAGCATCATGGCCAAGCACCATGGCTGTGCATGGTGGGCAAGCACCGTGCTCAAGCACCGTGGCCAAACACCGTGGCCAAGCACGGTGGGCGAGCACCGTGCCTGAGCACCATGGCCACAGATCATGGGCAAGCACCGTGCCTGAGCGCCGTGGCCGCACATGGTGGGCAAACACTGTGCCCAAGTGCTGTGCCCGAGTGCCATGGCCACACGTGGTGGGTGAGCACCGCGCCCGAGCATCATGCCCAAGCACCGTGGCCGCAGATGGTGGGCGAGCACCGTGCTTGAGCACCGTGGCCAAGCACTGTGGCCATGCATGGTGGGCGAGCACCGTGGCCACACATGTTGGGCGAGCATCGTGCCCAAGAACCGTGCCCAAGCATAGTGGGTGAGCACCGTGGCCAAGCACCATGGCTGTGCATGGTGGGCAAGCACCGTGCCCAAGCACTGTGGCCACACATCACGGGCAAGCACCGTGGCCGAGCACCATGGCTATGCATGGCGGGCGAGCACCGTGGCTGAGCACCGCATCCGCGGAGCATGCCCCAGCACCGTGTCCAAGCGCCACGTCCATGCACCATTCCCTTGCACCGTGCCCGAGCACCCTCTCCGTGCCCCTGCACTTTGTTCAAGCACCGTGTCTGAGCACCGTCCTCGAGCACCGTGCCCAAACGCCACGTCTAAGCACCACGGCCGTGCACGGTGCCTGAGCGCCGTATCCACACGCAGCACCCTTGCACCGTGCCTGCACAACACCCCCACACGCTGGGCTGAGCACCCTGCCCACGCGCCATGTCCAAGCCCTGTGCTGAGCACTGTGGCTGAGCACCACGTCCAAGCACCACGTTCACACGCCCTGGCTGAGCACCAAGTCCACACACCGTGTCCGAGCACCACGGCTGAGCACAGTGTCCACGCACCATGTCGGAGAACCGCTGCCGAGGGCCATGTCCGAGCACCGCGCAAGCACCATGTCTGAGCACCGCAGCTGAGCACCACGTTCACACACCCTGGCTGAGCACCACATCCACCCAGCGTGTCCAAGCACCCTGTACAAGCGCCACGGTTGAGCACCATGCCCGAGCACCATGTCCACGCACCACGTTCAAGCACCACGTTCGAGCACTGTGGCCAATCACCATGTTCACACCCCACGTCCCAGCACCGTGTCCATGATGTGTGGCTGAGCACCGTGCCCGAGCACCACGTCCACGCACCACATCCAAGCACCGCAGCAGAGCACCGTGCCTAAGCACCATGTTCACGCACCCTGGGCCGAGCACCGTGCTCGCACACCACGTCTGAGCACCACATCCATGAGGTGTGGCCGAGCCCCTTGCCCGAGCACCGTGTCCACGCACCATGGCTGAGCACCGCGGCTGAGCACCGTGTTCACACACTCTGGCTGAGCACCGTGTCCACGCGCCACATCCGAGCACCACGTGTGTGATGTGTGGCTGAGCACGCTGCCCGAGCACCATGTCCATGATGCGTGGCTGAGCCCCGTGCCCGAGCACCATGTCCACGCACCATGTCCAAGCACCGTGGCCGGGCACCGTGCCCACGCACCACATCCGAGCACCACGTCCAAGACGCGTGGCCGAGCAACTTGCCTGAGCACCGGGTCCATGATGTGTGGCTGAGCACCGTGCCCGAGCACCATGTCCACGCACCATGGCCGAGCACCGTGGCCAAGCACCATGTCCACGCACCATGGCCGAGCACCGTGGCCGAGCACCATGTCCACGCACCATGGCCGAGCACCGTGGCCGAGCACCATGTCCACGCACCACATCCGAGCGCCGCAGCTGAGCACCACGTTCACAGCCCCTGGCTGAGCACCGTGCCCATGCACCACATCCGAGCACCACGTCCACGACACGTGGCCGAGCACCGTGACCGAGCACCGCAACCGAGCACCTCGTCCAAGCACCACATCCGCACCCGGCTCTCCCGCCGGCACCCCGGCCCCGCACCGGTGGGGAACGGCTCCACCACGAGCCCGGTCGGCGGATGCCTCTGACGCGACACCGATTTCAGTTTGCATAAACCCAACCGGCTCCCGGCACGCTTCGAGCTGTCGCTCCGGAAAAGTAAACTTCCTTCTCAACGACATTGCTTTTTATTTTTTTTTTTTTTTTTCTTGGTTCCCTAGTTTCGTATATACATTAGTAGCACCTCAGCGAGATGGAATCAGGCAGAAGCGTGATACAGTTTGTTAAAACACCATAGCACCGTTTTTATTAGAAGATTTCATTTAATAAAAATATGCCTTATAGAGCCCACTAAGCATACTCCAGTATTAAAAGGAAAAATCAGCAATTGAGGCACCTCAGGGATTCTGGTTTCCTTCTCCTTCCCGTGCCTCGTCCCGAGAGCATCGAGATGGGGGGGGGGGGGAACCCCGAAACGTGTCCCCCGCTTCCCACCCGAGGCGAAGCATCGCGGCTGGAAAAAAACGAAGCAGGGTGGCAGGGGCCCGTCGGGCTCCCCGCGCCAAGCTCTCCCCAGGGTTTCTACCGCGGGCATTGTTCTAGCACCATTGTGGCCACGACCTGCTGCAAAATTAGGTCCCCAACCCACCCCGAAGCAATTAAAAACATCCCCTCCCCAGCAAGTCCCCCTCAACGCCGCGACTCCCCTGGCTTCGGCACGGGTGGGACGAGCACGGCCGCCAGGACGGGTAAAGGAAAAGATTTTGCTTGAAAAACAGCCTCTCAGCAGCAAGGGGTAAAGAGCTGTGCATAGATTTCGAGTTTTCGTAGAAGTCTGAAGCGTGCTAATTTTTAATGACTGAGATTTGAGGTAGGTTAGACGTTATGTAGTGTAAAAACGTGAGACTGCAGCAGTTCTCGCTCCCCGACCCGCAGCGCCGGCATCTCCCCGCTTACCCGGGTTGAACCCGCCGGAGCCAACGCCGCGCCGGACCGAACCCCCTCCCTGCACCAAAAAGAACCTCCGAGGAAGCAGGACTTAGACAGGTTACACGGACCCTCGCCTTCTCCGAACGCACCCCTTTTCTTCCCGACTCTAAACCCATCCAGGCGAAGCTCGCAAGGCACCCCCGCCACGACAGTCAGACGAGACCCCGGGCGACGCGAACCGGGGCCGGCACCCGAATCCGGCCCCGCCGAACGCCGCGGGCGGGGAGCAGCCGGGTCCCCTTTCCGCCCTCCGAACCGCATCGACGCGTCGGGTCCCCGCGCTGGAACCGCCATCGCCCACGGGCATCCCTAAAATCTGACTTGCCATCGACTCTTACAATCCTGATATGCTATTGGGTATTTATAAGAAAAGCGGTAATAGCTCGTTGAGTTTCCTTGTCAAATATACGCGACTTTACAGATTACGGTTAAAAAAAAAATTAATTATGAAGGACGGACAAAGCATGTTAAATATTCTGCCAGTATTTACAGTTCTCCCACAATAATCTTGTTTAAAACATACTGCTTTCAAGTTGTTGGGGGGGGGGGTGGGGAGGAAAGAGGGGATTTGTTTTTTAAGTTTTGCTTTCATTTTTAAATCTAGGTGAAAGTGCTTTTAAAAAAATTCTTTCCCTATTTACAGGTTTAAAATCAGACCACGTAAATGTTCAGGCTGTTTTACCGAGATCCTGCTGATCTGTGCCAGTGCGCAAGGAAGGAGGGTGACAGTAAACACAAGGTGATTTCTGCACGGTGACGGCGTCGGCTCTGGCTCGCTGGCTCTCCAAAAGGCACCTGAAAGTGCAAAAGCAACGACCCCGGGGACGCCGGCACCCGGATTCGGCCACGCCGCCCTCCCGGTGAGCCGCGGGGGAGCTCGCCCGCCCGTCCACCCCGGCGCGGCTTCGGCATCGGGCGGAAAGTCTCGACTGAGATTGTTCGAAAAGCACCACGCGGTTTTTGTCGTCGCTGGGTAATTTCGTTTGTTTGTTTGTTTGCGGGAAGAACGGCGATCCGTAGGAAGGAGGGATGGCACCTGGGGAGAGATAAAGCACCGAGCCCCGGCGGCGCTTGCCGCTGCGCCGGTTCGCCGGCACCGGCGGGGAAGGCGGACCGGCGGGGGGTTTGGCCAGCCAAGTCTTGGGGATTCGCTCTTCCCAGAGCCGATCGCACAGAGAAAGTCCCCCGGAGACGGAAAGCACCAGACTTTAGCAACAGTGATGTACAGAGAGCAACACTAGCTATTCACAGTTTGGGGTTGGTTTGTGTTATTTTTCCTGTGGTTTTTTTTTTTTTGTTTTTTCTTTTTTTCTTTCTGTTTTTGTCCTGTCGGCTCCTTTAGAGACGCCGCCGCCGCCGCCGCTCTCCCTGGGGCCGTCGGCAAAGGAACCCCCAAGTCTGAGCCCGAGCGTGGTACCCCGGCAGCGGCGCCCCCCAGCCCGGACGTGTCCTGAGGTCTCCGGCGCCGGGAAAGACGCCGGCTCGCTCCGTCCCGGCGGAGCCGATCCCGCCGGCGGCGAGGAGCCGAGCGAAAACGCGCCGTCCCAGGATGTCCCGCTCACGAGCGGGTCTCCTGTCGCTGTGAGAAAGGACTCCTCGAGTTGCAAAATAGATATTTTTTAGGTCCTTGGGAAAAAAAATTATCGGATGTTCAGTGTGTCCAGCTGACAGTAAAGCACACGATCCCGCCAGGCCCCACGCGCTGGAGCTGGAGGGAGTCCCCTCTTGCCTTTAAGTTGGTTTGGTGTTCAGGTTGTTTTTTATTTCTGTTTCGGGTTTGTTTTTTTTTTTTCGATGTTGGCTTCTTTTTTGAAGATCAGCTTCGTCGTTGTCGGCGGAGTAAAAAATAAAATAAAATAAAATCCAATAAATAGGCATTTTTAAGTGGAATTAAAAACCTCTCCTTTGCGAAAGGACGCTATAAACTTCTCCCTCCATTCGCGTGGCGCATGAGGCTAGATTAAAAAAACGCGGAGATATAAATATGAGATTACCGAAAAGCGTCAAACAGCATCATTCCTCTTTTTTTTTTTTTACCGAGTTTTGCTTTGTTTGCCAACTCCTCGCCAAGCGCAGCTCTCCGACAGCGTGCACCCGCACCGGCTCCGCTGTTTCCAAGCGTGCGTGTTGGGTTCACTTTCTGTGGGTTGCTTTTTTTTCTGTTGTTGTTGTTGTTGTTGTGTTTCGCTTCGTTTTTGTCTATTTTATTGGGGTTTTTTTTGTTTTTTTTTTTTTGTTTTGTTTTTTTTTTCTTCTCCCCCACGCCCGAGGAGAAAGCACCACGAAGCAACGCCGGGGCTCCGGCGCTGCCGAGGGTTGAGGTAAGATGGGGCTGCGGCGGTTGCCTCCGTCTCAGATCCAGCGGCTGTAGGGGCCCGTCACCTTGGTGTAGGCGTAGGAGGACACAGTGATGGCGGAGTTGGTGGGGATGGCCACCGCCTGCCGCGTGGGGACCGAGTCCCTCCTCTCCTTGCTGGGCGCCTCGGTGGCCAACGCGCCGCCCCACTTGCGTTTCTTGGCGAAGGCTTTGGCGTCAGGTGGAAGACCCAGGCGCGCCGCCTCCTCTTGCCGGGCTCGAGCCCGCTCCGCCAACTGCTTCATCTTGGCCTCCCACAGCGCCAGGCCGTGGTTGGGCTGGTTCAAGTTCTTGTGTTGGTAGAAGACCAGGGAGATGCGGGTGGGGTGGCAGCGGTTGGGTTTCTTCAGCGGGGTGGTGGCGTGGAGCTCGCGACGAGCGCACTCGATGAGGATGGAGCCGTGGGCGGGCGCCACGGCCACCCCGCCGATGTTCTCATCCAGGAAGTTGTGCTCGCTGTCCGACCACTCCTCCTCCTCTTCCTCGTCCTCCTCCTCGTCCTCCTCCTCCTCCTCCTTCACCGCCTTCTCCGGCAGATCCTCCTCCAGGCCGAAGGGGTCCCACGGCTTCTCCCGGCGGGGCCCTGCCACCCCCTTTTCACCCACCGCCGCCTCCCACGGCTTCCCGGGCAGCACGGGGCTGGGCGCCGGCGTCCTCCGCTCCTCCGCCTTCACCAAGCCCCACGGCTCCTCGGGGAAGCTGGGCAGCCCCGGCAGGGCCGAGCTAAAACCCAGCGGCCCCAGCAAGCTCGGGGTGCCCGTGCCGGCCAGCGCCGCCTCCCCCAGCTTGCAGGGGCTCCACGGTTTCGGCAGCAAGCCCGAGCCACGCGCCGCCGCCTCTCCCGCCAGGACGTTGGGCCACTGCTTCTCCGGCGGCGGCAAGCGCGCGGCAGCGTCGAAGGCGCTCGGCTTCTCCCGCCCGCCCGAACCCAGCGCCAGGGCGCTCCAGGAGCCCTCCGTCGTGCTAGTCCTCTCGGGGGAAGACGTGCCCCGGGACGCTTTGAAAGGGCTCCACCGCTGCTCCGGCACCCCGCCGCGCGCCGGGACGGCTGGCAGGGATAAGCCGGTGCCGGGCATGGCCACCGCGCCGGGAAGGGGCTCGACGGCGGGCGGAGGGTCCGGAGGCTCCTGTTTGATGGGCCGGCTGCCGAAACAGTTCTGTGCAAACGACGGCGCTTCCTCCGAGCCCGAGCTAGTCCTGTGCGCCCCGGCCGCCGCTTTCTGCTGGCTGGCGTAGCGGTTAGCCCGCTCGTAGGTGCGCTGGTGATGGTTTTTGCTCCGGACGCTGTGCGGGATGGGCTCGGGGAAATCGGTGTTCCCGTAGGTGTGGTTGAGGTTCTCCTGCAACGCCGGGACGTCGGGCTTCTTCTCGTAGCCGTTGCTCACCCAGCTGCTCCCGCTCCTCTCGGGCACCCCGTAATTCAGAAACTGCGAGGGGAACATGTGGTTGCTGGAAAAGCCGTAATACCCGAAGGAGGGAAGCGCGAACTTGGAGTGAAACCCGTTCACGGAAGGCAGATTGGGCTGTGCATAGTAGGAATGGTAAGAGTAAACACTGTTCATGCTGTACGGGTCGGAGGGCCGGCAGCTCCCCAGCACCGAGTAGCTCTCCACCACCGCGTTGCCGTTGTACTTGAAGGCGTTGTAATGGCTCTGCGGCTCCACCTTGATGGAAGGTTTCAGCGGCTGCGGGGGCAGCCCGCTTTTCAACGCCATACCTGCGGGCACAGCACACACACACAGCCCCCGTGACCCACCGGCCAAGGAAGCCACTGGTGGGGAGCGAGGACCCCAAAAACTTGGCCAGACTCAAAAATCCCACAGCGACGGGCCCGCCGGCTGAGCGCAGAGGTCAGCGTTGCCCAGCATTGCCCGGTGAGCCAGCACCGATCCACACCCACGGTCCGGGCTGCGGCGAGAGCTCCCCACCACAGCGCAGTACAGGGGGAAAAAAAAAAACCAGGCACCACACAAATGCCATCCTGCACCCCAACACGCCAAGCGCTCAACGGTGCCAGCCTGAGAAAGCCCCCAACCGCATCCCTGTCCCCTCGTGCGCTTTCCGGACGGTTTGGAGCGGTGGGACCTCAGCTCTGCCCCCATTACCTGCGTTCTGCTGGAGCGCGGGGAGCTCAAGCGCTTCCTGCTTGATCTTCTCTGGCGTCATCAGCTTCTCTTTCTGCAGTTTCTTCTTCTCCGCAGCGGCTTTCTTCGCTTCTAGCTGCCTCTGCCGGCAGGACTTGGCAGGCTCGGGCAGCTTGCGGACCTCGCGGGGGAAGGACGTGAGCACCTGGATGGCCCCGCTGCCCACCTTGGCGTTTTGGTTCTCCTCGCTGCCAAACTCATCCGTGCTGGACATCTTGTAGAGGGGGAGGACGTGCAGTTGCTCATCTTCGGGGATTTTCCCCACCACGCGATTGTCTTCCTTTGTCAGCGTGCAGACCTGGGGGAGCACAGGGTGCCATCAGCGGGGCGCTGCCGGACGCGGCGAAACCTCCTCCTTATTCCACCCAGCAGTGTGGAGCCACACCAGCCTGGCATCCCCCCCAGCCCGCACTGGTCCCCAGCCAGCAGTCAGAAACCTCCCGTGGGGTTTGGATCAGACAAAAGCAAATGCATGGTCCCCGTTAGCACCGTGTTTTAGTCCAGCCAGGGTGGCTTCAGCACCCTGCAGACCGGAACGGTTTCACTTCAGGTGTGCAAACACCGAGGAGCAGCCACTGGAGTCGTGCAGGTATGACAACTGGGGACAGCGGGGACTGAGCGGCTCAAAAAGGAGCGTCCTGAAACAGGAGGGGAACATCCCGATAAGCCCCGCCGGCCGGCTGCTTACCACCGTGCAGCCGTTGTAGAGGTTATGCTGATCTTTGTGAGCGTGAGCGCAGAAGTCCATGCACGCCGTCACTCCCGAGAACGGCCTCCCCTCCTTCAAGCCCAGCCGGCAGTCTATCGCGACGTCCTCGTTGGTAACCTGGTAGAAGGAGGAGGGGGCTCCGGTTATCCGAAATGTCCTACGTGACACCACCCCACACCCGTTTCTGCCAGGCCGCCGTGGTCCAAAGGGGACGAGCGGGTGGCTGGTACCTGGTTTTGGTAGGCTTGCGGCGCCAGCCTCTTGTAAAGCGGAGCAACCTCGGTGGCCAAGTCCTGAAAGCTTTTCCGGAGCAGCTCTTCCTGCAGTAGGGAAAAGAGAAGGATGTCACCCAGGGATTTCAGCAATGGGGGCAGAATTGGGGGCAGAGCCCTGCATACCACGCAGCATCCAACCCTCCCTGTGAAGCCTGCCGCCGTGCAAAGCACGTGGCTTAAATTCCTGGTTAATTTTTGGCCGTTTGTCCTCCAGCCTCAGCATCTGCTGTGCTTTCACTTGCTCAACCCCAGATCCCTCTGGTATTTTCCCTGCCACACCATACTGGCACTTGCTGTCGCAACAAAAGTGCTGGCTGTGGGACACCAAGGTGAGCCTGCCCTCTGGTTTCACCAGGTTGGCTTTCTTCCCCGCTGTCTCCCTAATCCAGCAAAAATCCCACCAGGAATCCTATTTTCAGACTTTCCCCCTGAAAAATACTCGGTGCTGGGGGTAAAAGGAGGTCTGAAACCACAGCCCCGCCGCTGCTGCCCCACTCCGCCCGCATCACCCACCTCTTTGGGATTGTCCCCCACCAGCCTGAACTTGCGGGGAGTTTTGCTCCGGGCGTATTTGCAGCCATTAAAATACATGCTCCAAGAGCAGCCGAAGGAGAAGGAAGCGCCGCAGGTGTTGGGGTCCTTGCCTTGGCACGCGCAGGTCCGGCTGCGGGAGGGACACCGCAGAGGAGTGTCAGCCGCCGGCGCGGTGATGGCAGCTCTGAAAACAGGGGGGACCCCCCCACCCCCATCCGCATCCCCCTTCCCACCCCGTTTCCCCGAACCGAACCGGTGGCACGGTGCGACTTACTCATCGTTCAAGCCGCAGCGGCGGCTGGTGGGGTTGCCGTACTTGGTGAGGGTGTCGGTGAGCTCCTGGTACAGCGTATCGCCCAGCGTGCGGGGGATGCCCTCCCAGGCCAGGATCAGGATGATGATGACGGCGTTCTGGCAGTGGTGGCCAGCCCGGTGCCGCACCAGGCACAGCAGTTTCTCCTCTTGGTTGTGTCTTCGGATCACCTGTAAAAACAGAGGGGCCAAGTCAGACCAATCACAAAGGGAAGACCCCAAAAGCGGGTCCTGGCTGCATTTTGCAGCATCCTGTGAGGATATGGGGGGGGTGTCCCAAAACAGAGGGGCCAAGTCAGACCAATCGCAAAGGGAAGACCCCAAAAGCGGGTCCTGGCTGCATTTTGCAGCATCCTGTGAGGATATTGGGGGGGGGGGGGGGGTCCCAAAACAAAGGGGCCAAGTCAGACCAATCGCAAAGGGAGGACCCCAAAAGCGGGTCCTGGCTGCATTTCACAGCATCCTGTGAGGATATGGAGGGGGGGGGTCCCATGGTTGCATTCACCCCCCGTGGGTTTTGGGGCGCTGGGAGCGGGGACACGCCTGGCCCAGGGGCTGCAGGCACGGACGTGCCGTTCAGCGGGTGCCAAGGGTGGGAAGCCCCGTGGAGTTTCCCCGGGGGCGGCTGCTGCCACTCTCACTTCCTCCTTGCCGGCCGCAGATCGAGCAGCCCGCCCCTGCCCGCTGTGGCCACCGCTGGTGGGGGACCTCCTTGTCCCCAGGCAGGGAGGGGACGGGCAGGAGCGTTACCTCGGGGAGGGCTCTGAGGGGGGGACGAGAGCCGGGGCGCAGGCACTCACCCACTTGGCGATGGGGCAGCCCCGGGAGCTCTTCCCCTCCTTCCCCGTGTAGATGACCTTCTCGATGCGGATGGCCTTGCCCTTCTCGCCGTACCTGCCAGGGGATGGGCATCAGCCCCACTCACACCCCCCCCTCCCCGCCACGCTCACGAGTCTCCTGCTCGCCCTCACGAGCCCCCCACTCGCCTCATGAGACCCCATTCACCCTCACTTGGACCCCTCATGAGCCCCTGCTCACCCTCGCAGGACCCCACGGGACCCCACTCGCCCTTGTGAGTCCCCGCTCATCCTCGCAGGACACCATTCACCCTCATGGGACCCTGTCCACCTTCACAGGAACCCGCTCGCCTTCAAAAGACCCCACGGGCCTCCACTTGCCCTCACAGGACCCTACTCAACCTCACAAGCTCCCACTTGCCTCATGGGATCCCTCACAGACCCCCAGTCACCCTCACAAGCCCCAGCTGTCCCTCATGGGCTCCCACTCACCTTCACAGGACCCTACTCGCCCTTATGGGTCCCCTCAGAGACCCTCACTCACTCTCACAAACCCCCACGCACCCTCATGGGACCCCACTTGCCCTCACAGGCTCCCACACACACACTCACAGGTTTCTGCTCACCCTCATGGGACCCCACAGACCCCTGCTTGCCTTCACAAGCCCCCACTCACCTTCACAAGCCCCCACTCACCCTCACAGGGTCTCACAGGACCCTACTTGCCCTCATGGAACTTTTCACCAAGTCCCCACTCCCCCTCATGATGCCCCCACTCCCCCTCACAGGACCCCATGGGACCCCCACTCACCCTCATGGGCCCTCCCTTGCCCTCACAGGCCCCCGCTCACCCTCACAACATCCCCCTCACCCTCACGGTCCCCCGGGACGGGGTGGGATGGGGCGAGGGCCCTTACCGCTCCTCCATGAGCTCCCTGATGGATGCCACAGTGGGCCCCGAGCCCAGGTGGGTGTAATACGGCCCCTCATCCTTCTCCACGATTTGCTCTGCAGAGGCAGGAGGGGACACAGAGATTTCAGGGTTTGCACCTCCACCAGCTGCCCTGAAGGATGCCAAACCCCCAAATTCCCTCAAACTGAGCATTTCTGCACCAAAAAATTAAGGGTTCCTCAACGGTGTCTCCCCCTAAGAGCATCGGGGAAAGGAAGCAGCAATTAGGGGTTCGTTGAACAGCCCGGCAGCTCCTCTGCATTTTCTGCTCTGGAAGACGCTCCCAGCACTAAAATGCTGCTGGGGAACAAGGTGACGGGGGCTCAGAACCACACTCGTTGGCACCCATCCCCCTTGGGGACCCGAAAACCTCCCCGAGTGGCCACGGCCCCTCCGAGCATCCTGGCAGCAACAGTGGCTCCATCCCGGCGCGGAAGATTTGCACCGGCCACTCGAGCGCGGCGCATTATGACGAGCTCTGCTGAGAAGACGCGATTAACGGCAGCGGGTGATTCGGCACATAAACCCTTCTCCTCATCCCCGGCCCCCTCCTCCCCGCCAGCTCCCACCCAGGGCACCCGTCTGGCCGCACTCACCGGGACCAGCCCGGCTGGAGGCTGCCAAAACCATCACGGGATGATTTGGGGGATGTAAACTACTGCTGTCTGCTTTTCAGCTTGCCTGGAAGATTTGGGAATGCTCATGGGATGTCCCGAGCTGGCAGAGCCCATGCAAGGAAGGAGCTGTTGCACGGGGGAGAGGCTGAAGGATGCTGGGGCTACCAAAGAAGGATACTGGGGCTATGGGAAGAGGATGCTGGGGCTACTGGAGAAAGATCCTCGAGACATGGGAGAAGGATGCTGGGGCTACAGGAGAAATTTTCTGGGGCTAAAGAAGAGGGATGCTTGAGATATGGGAGAAGGACACTGGGGCTACCGGAGAATGATGCTGGGGCTACTGGAAAAGAATGCTGGGGCTACCAGAGAAGGACACCGGGGCTACCGGAGAATGATGCTGGGGCTAAAGACAAGAGATGCTTGAGATACAGGAGAAGGACTCTGGGGCTACCGGAGACCGATGCTGGGGCTACCAGAGAATGATGCTGGGGCTACCAGAGAAGGATGCTGGGGCTACCGGAGAAGGATGCTGGGGCTACCAGAGAAGGATGCTGGGGCTAAAGACGAGAGATGCTTGGGATACAGGAGAAGGACTCTGGGGCTACCGGAGAATGATGCTGGGGCTACCAGAGAAGGATGCTGGGGCTACCAGAGAAGGACACTGGGGCTACCGGAGAAGGATGCTGGGGCTACCGGAGAAGGATGCTGGGGCTACCGGAGAAGGATGCTGGGGCTAAAGACGAGAGATGCTTGAGATATGGGAGAAGGACTCTGGGGCTACTGGAGACTGATGCTGGGGCTACCAGAGAAGGATGCTGGGGCTACCAGAGAAGGACGCTGGGGCTACTGGAAAAGAATGCTGGGGCTACCAGAGAAGGACACGGGCTACCGGAGAATGATGCTGGGGCTAAAGACGAGAGATGCTTGAGATACAGGAGAAGGACTCTGGGGCTACCGGAGAATGATGCTGGGGCTACCAGAGAAGGATGCTGGGGCTACCGGAGAAGGATGCTGGGGATACTGGAGAATGATGCTGGGGCTACCAGAAAAGGACGCTGGGGCTACCGGAGAAGGATGCTGGGGCTACCAGAAAAGGACGCTGGGGCTCCAGCCCTGTAAGGCACCCCCCCCCCATTGCCACAGCAAACCCCTCAGGGTTTTAGGGCAGGAAGGTGCCGGCACGGGAAGCGAGGGACGCTCCGGGCAGCCACGGCAGCGCTGGGGTCGGTCCCCAGCGCGCGGGGATACTCCAGTGCCGCCGGGTGGGATGCATCCGGCGCGACGGCCGGGTCTGATCTGTCTTTCCATCCCTCTGCTCTCACCGCCCTGATTTTCATTCCCGTCATGTCTAGCTGGCTGGGCGCCAGGGCGAGGAGAAAGCCGGGCTCAGCTGGGCTGCAGCTGTCCAGACAGAGATCAATACGGGACATGCAGCGAAGGCTGATTTTATTACAGCGTCTAACAGCACAGGCACCTAATAAAGCACCGAGCCCCGACTCCTACTTAATTGCTTTCTCTCACAGCTTTTCCTTGAGAAAATGGAAAGAGGTGGCAGGGGGGGAATCCCCCCTCTCCCAGCCCCTACACCATGCTGCAAAAGAAAAAGCAACCTGAATCTTTCCTCACACCACAGAGTGAAAGTCTCAGATCAGTTTGAGCAGCTCCAGAAAAGCCTTTAATTCGCTTGGTGCCATTTGGGCTAATTACTGCTGCCATTTACAAGCAAATAAATAAATAATCATAAGCCCCACTAATAAAGTGCAGCTTGCACTTAGCCCGAGGCCACCTCTCCCAGCAGCACAGGGGCTCGTTTTTCCGGCTGGATGCCCCAAATCTTCACCCTGCTCCTCCCACGGGAGACTGTAGCTCCGGTCTAAATTTTGGGGAGGGAAGATCCATCTCCCCATGCTTGGATGGAGGTGGACTGCAAGGACCGGGTGGGAAATCTCTAGCACTTGCTGCAAAGTCTAACGAATGCCAACACACAGCAAAAAAAAAACAACCCGCCCCCCCAAAAAAAAGCTTTTTCAATACATCCTGGTGTGATCGGCCATTGAACAAACAACCCAGCATCCCAGCAGCAAACATGCCTCCAGGTATAAGCACGCCCACCGAGCCAAAGCTTGGGTTACTTTGAGTAATCCAAACCAGCTAATTTGGCTTAAAATAGCAGGAATAACCAGGCAAGCTGGGGTTTAGGTGCGTTTCAGCGCTGAGGCAACCACGGGCCCTTCTATGGGATTGAGCCAAGCAGTTAAGCAGAGGCAAAACCCAACAGCCCTTTGGTTTTGCTGCTCTTCCAACCCACACCGTCACAGCCAGGTCGGCGTCGGCACCACCCCTGCGGTGACGCTGCAGTCCCTCGGCGTTTGCCATCCGACGGTAAAAATAAGAGAGAGCAAAAGAGAGCTCCACAGCGTCGGGGTTGCTCCAAAAAGTGGAGGCTTTTCCGGCGCCACAGCATCGCTGTTATTTTATCCAGGGCAAATCCCACCTTATAAAGCCACCTCCTCGAAATGCCACCCCTGGGGCTTGTCACCCCCCGCCCCCCCCGTGACCCCCCCGGCACGGCCGCTCGCTCACCGACGCAGTCGCAGGTGGGGAACTCCGCTTGCGCCCGCTTGGCCGGGGTGTCCAGGAGGCTTTTGGTCGGGGTGTCCAGGTATTTCAGCGGCGACTCCAAAAAGCCGCTCAGGGTCGGCGTCAGCGGCACCTCGTCCTTGGTGGGTGTCCCGTCAGCGTCATCCGCGTCCGGGTTTTGGCTTTCCTCGGAGTAAAAGCACGTGGTCGACACCACGGTGATAGCACCAGAAGACTCGATTTTGATCTGTTTGGGGGACCGGGCGGTGAAGGTGGGCTCCGAAAGCGGACCCTTCCCCGGCGAGAACGAAAAGCTTTTGGGTCCGGCTTGGGGAGCGCTGCTCGAAGCCGGGGCGGCGGCGGCGGTGGCGGGGGGTACTTGCAGGGCTGGTGATGGCCCCCCCGGCAGCTCGGCAGCCCCGGGGGCGAGCAGGGCGGGTGTTTCGGGGGGCTGCAGGTTGAAATTCTCCCCAAATTCGGCTTCGAATTGCCGGATGAGCTCTTCCAGCTTGTCATCCACCACGATGGGGGTCGGGGCGGCCGGTGGGGGAGCAGCCGGTGCTTCCTCTGAGCCGGTCAAGCCCGCCGGCGCCGGGTGAATTTGGGGGCCCCCCCCGGGGGCACCCCTTTCCTGAGAGTCGGGAGCCGGGGGGCCGCCGTCGAGGGGGTTCGGCGGCGGGGGGTAAGCGGCGGGCAGGGGTAGTGCAAGAGGCTGGAGCGGGAAGGCAGGCGGCGGCGGCGGCGGCGGTTCGGTTTGCATCTCTTCGGCGGGGGGTTCGGCGGGCGCCCGAAACCCCTCCAGGCTGATCTGCCAGAGGGGCAGGAAGAGCGGCTGCGAGTCCTTCTGCTTCGCCTTCTTGATCTGCACTTGCTTACGGAGCGGTTTGGCCGGGGGGGGCTTTTCAGGCGGCGTTTTCTTCTTCTTCTCTTTGGCCTGCTTTTCGAAGGGCTTGGGGGGCACAGCCGGGGCGCCGGGAGCCCACCAGCCGCTCGGCCGATCCGGGGGTGCCGCCGCCGCCGCCGCCGCCGCCAGGCTTTGCTCAAGGAAGAGGCTGCGCTTGTGGTGGAGATGCTGCTGCAGGACCAGCTGCGTCTTCTTGTGCAGGTCGGGCTCCGGCGGTGCTGGCGGCAAGCGGGGGCCGCCCAGCGTTTCCTTGCCAGGTGCCCGTTCAGGGGGCTCCGTTTTCGGCACCGTCGCTTTGCCGGCCGTCGCTTCGGGTCTCTTGAAAGCCGCCTTGATGTAGTCGTCAGCGTTACCCAGCAGTTGCTCCAGCTCCGCCATGGGGTCTCCGGCCCCCGCCGCCCCCTCGGCCTCCAGCCCCCACGCCGCTGCAAAGCCCCCCCGGGGTGGTGCTGCACCAAAAAACGGCTCCGGCGCTGCTGCCGGCTCCGGCGGATAACGGGGCTCGTCCCCTCGCTGCCATGTGGCCCCCGGCGGGGCGAGGGGGCTGGGGCCGAAGGGGGCGGCGGGGGGGGGCGGAGGCGGCGGCGGGGGGGGCTGGCCATCCCCGGCGGGCTGGGGGAGAGCAGCCGAGAGCTGCGTCAGGGCTTCGATGGCTATGGCGGTCTGCAGGCTGATGTTCTTCTCCTTGGCGATGGTCAACGCGCTTTGGGAAAAGGGGAGGCCGTCGGGCGGGCACGGCTCGGCGGTCTCAGGCACCGGCTGGGGGTCGATAGCACCTTCCTGGGGGGGTGGCGGGGGGTTAGCGGCGGCGCGGGGCCGCGGTGATGCCGGCTCTTCGCCGAGAGCCGTCTTGATCTTCTGCTCCAGCCATTCCAGGTAGTCGGGGCACTCGGGGCCGTCGCAGTTGCAGTTGGGGGGCTTCACGCCGTGCTTGGCCAAAGCCAGGGCAGCTTTGAGGGCGTGCAGGTCCTCCCCCCTCGGCATGCCGTCCGCCGCGCTCAGCCCACCCCGGCTCATCTCCGAGTCGAACTTCTCGTACAGCAGCGACGGCGAACCCGGGGGTGGTAGCCTGTACGAGGAAACGGCTTCGGCCACCGCTGAAAAGGCCACCAGGTTCCTGACGTCTTCCAGGTGGGCTTTACCGGCGGCAGGCGGCTGGCCCGGTGACCAGCCGCTCGGCTCCATCAGCGCGGTGCCCCCCGCCTCCGGCCGGCCCCCATTCGCCAGGCTGAGCCCGCTGCCCTCGTTCAGCCGCCTTTCTTCGACATAATTAATTGGCCCTTCTTCCATTTGGCTTCTGCTGGGTCCATCAACCGGGTCGCCCGCCGAACCTGTCTGCGAGAAGGGAAAGAGGAGAGATATGAGCACCCTCCGCCACGACCCACGTGCCATCGTCCCCCGACCCATCTGCCCCCTCTCTTGTTTTTTATTCCCCCCTTTTTCCCCATCTCTTTTTCTGACCTGGGAGATGAAGACGCAGACGAACCACGCGAAAAAAAGAATTGCCGACAGCAAAACCACGCGGGTTTTGCCCAGCTGCGTAAGGAGCAGCTCGGCTCGAAAGGCGGCCGGTTTCCACTGCGCCGGCCCCGCGCCACCCACGTCCCCACCCCACCACCCACTTTCGAAATTGCTCACGGGACGGTTCGGGATTTCCAGCACCCGCCGAGGGCAAGACGTGCCGGGGTGGGCCGGGGAGGGCGTCCCCAGCTCTGGTGACACAGTTTGCACTGGCGAAGGAAGCGGCACAGGGAGAAAAGGGGGGGGGGGTGTGTTGTGTTTTTTTGGACCCGTGCCCAAAGCAAACATCCTGGCTGGGAGCAGCCGTCCTTCACCGGGGGCTGCGGCACGGCAGGAAGCCGCCGAGTTGGCTACGCCGGTGCCAGGGGCGGCGCAGGGATGCTTTCACCTCAAATAACCCAGCGTCTGTATCAACACGGCTGGCCAGGGCCCCCGGCAACGCCGAGCTACAGCACCGGCGGCCAGAAAACCGCCCATGTGCCAAGAAGAGACTAAAACCATTAGAGCCGTCCACGCTGACGCACCCAGGGAGCCCGTCACCCCGGCGTCTGGGCTCGCGTGCCCTGGTTAAGATCCTCCAAGGGGTTTTGCCAGGGATGGGGGGGGGTGTCTTTCTGTGCTCTGTGGCTCTCCCCCCTCAGCAGCGGGGATTTTAGTGCTCTGGCAGCTGGGGGTGCCGGGTGCTGGCAGTTGATTTAGCAATTTGCCGATAACCAAGGGGAGCTTCCTGCAGGCTAAAAATACAACAAAGTTCGCTGGAAAAAAATATGACAAAGCAAGCAAAGGCTGTGGGCAGAGCTTCCTGTCTCTGGACAGTGCCGGTACCGGCTCGGGAAGGATCCGCAGCCCAGACTCGCTGGGAGATCCCGAGTTACAGCTCCAGGTTCAAGCAAGCTGTCAGTGTGCGGCTGGTGGTGGTGGAGCTGCGTTTAACCCTTCAGCCACCAGCCCCACGGCTTCGGCACCGGCGTCCTTCAGGGAGAGCGAAGCCACATGCTTGAGCGTGGCTGGTTTCCATGCCAGAGATAAGCATGCTGCTGACGGAGGCGAAACCCCGGCGAAACCGGGGAGGAACCACTCCCAGCGTGATTATAGCCCCAAAATCCCCCGTCCCCGGGGGTGAAAACTCCTAGGGGAGCACAGCGCCGGTGCAAATCGCCGCGGCCCTGCTCCAGCCCAGGTCTCTCACCCTGATGCTGCCACGGCTTTACAGGGGCTCCGGCTTCGGTCCCTTTGCAGCATCCCCGCAGCCAAGCGACGGAGCCACGAGCGCTGGGACTGGTCCATCAAGTCTGGGGAGCAAGTGCTTCGCCGCCGGTTTGTGTCGAGCGCCGGCGAAACGGCAGCCTGGGCAGGGTGGGGACAACACACCGCCTCCGCTCTCCTTTGCAAACCAAGGAAGGAGCAGCCTCGCCCGTCCTTCCTACGCCGTCATTTTCCTCCTCCTCCTCCTCCTCCTCGTCCCCAGCCAAAAGGGTTTTTCCCAAACAGCGAACAGTGGCAGGGAGAAAAACACCCCGAGCCCCCTCCAGGACCTTGGGGGGACACATTTGTGCCCCGAAGCGTCCCCTGAGTCTCAGCGGTGATGCCAGCCCGGAGAAATGATGATAAACCTGTTTTGCTGTGGGTGGGGAGCGGATGCCAGCCCTAAGGGTCTACCCGGGGCTGGGGGAACCTGCTGGGTAAGGGTAGGGGAAGCCCCAAAAATCAGTCGCTGGGCCAGGGTGGCACCTTGGGCTGCTCCATCCCATAAACCATGTTATCAACCCAGGCTGGGGATGCAGGAAAATAGTTCACCCTGCGAATGCAAGGCAGAAGCAACCATTCCTCGCAACTCCTAAAAGGTTAATCTGAAAGCTACAACCTTCCCCAAATCAGTGGGAGAAAAAAAAAAATATATATACATATAAATATATAAAGGGTTTTTTTCCTGCTTCTCTCATCCAGCTCCTTTTGTTTCTGGCCCCAGGGGCTCAGAGAGGAAAGACCTTGCGGCTTCTCCCCAAAAATCAATCCCCATCCCAACTCACTCCAGGAGCATCCACAGAAATCCCTCCGTCGCTGCCATGGGCACCTATTCCTCCATGCCTCAGCCCGTTTTCCCTGGAAAAAGCTCTGCTTGACCAAACCTCCTTCCATTCACCGTGGGAAAGAATAAAAGCTGGGGAGAGGGAAGGGAAATAAATTAAAATAAAGAGAAAGCCAAGTGCTTCAGTTCGGGTTAGCTAAACTACTCGGCTCCCACATGGTCCCTTCTGCATCCTCCGGGTGCTATAAAAGGGGGAAAATCCCTCTGAGGATGAAAACATGTATTTTTTTAATCTGTTTTTCCTCTTTTTTTTTTTTTTTAATTTTTTTTTTTATTTTTTTCCCCATTTTAAATGCCTTGAACAGAGGGAAGGGAGGAAGGAAAAAAAAAAAAAAAAAACAAACCAAACCACACATGCAGAGCCCAGCTTGGAGAGTTTCCAGCCTGGGCTGTGCTCCCTGGGAATAGTCCGGAGCCGTTTATAACCCAGCGAGTGGCGGGGGGGAGCCCCGGCGGGGGCACGGTGCCGGATTCGGGTACAGCTCTGCCCGGGCGGCACTTACGTGTGCGGGGCGGGAGGTGAAGCCAAAGGCGATGGCGGGACCGTCCGGGGAGGAAAGACGAAACGAGTTGTTCAAGCCTCAGCCGCCCCGGCCCTCCCCGCCCCCTGCAAAACCAGCTGGAGGAGCCATTAGCCCCGGCGCCGCGCGCACGTAGGGATGGACGGACGGACCGCGGAGGGCCCCACGCCGGCCCCCACAGCCCGCAGGGCTGGCTGGGCCCCGAAAGGCGCCTTGACACCCCATGGGGGGACCCAAGGGGGACCCCAACCCCGTGAGCTGGCGGGGAGGGACGGCCGCAGCTCCGCTGGCTGCAGGGGGGGAACGGCAGCCCCCGCCGCCAGCAACCCCATAGAGCCCACTGCCCTATGGATACAGTGCCCCATATATCCAGCAACCGGCATGGTCAGCAGTCTTAGGTGTCTAACAACCCTATATATCCAGTAGCCCTACAGATCCAGCAACTTATATATATCCAGCAATCTTATCTATTCAACAGCCCTATATATCCAGCAGCCCTATAGATCCAGCAGTCCTATACATCCAGCAATCTTCTACATCCAGCAGCCTTATATATCCAGCAGCTCTCCATAATGAGTAATCTTATACATTCAGCAACCTGCATGTCCACTAACCCCTTATATCCAGCAACACATTATAACCAGCAACTTAGATATTCCACAATCCCATATATCCAGCAGACCTATATATCCAGCAACCCTATATCTCCAGCAGCTCTATATAATCAGTGATCTTATACATCCAGCAGCCCTATATATCCAGCAGCTCTATATAATCAACAATGTTATACATCCAGTAGCCCTATATATCCAGAAGCCCTAAATATCCAGCAAATTATTATATCCAGCAACTTGGATATTCCGCAATCCCATACATCCAGCAGACCTATATATTCAGCAACCCTAAACACTCAAGTCCTACATATCCAGCAACCCTATATATCCAGTGACCTATACAGCCAACAACCCTATATGGCCAGCAGTCTATATATCCAGCAACCCTGGATACCCACCAGTCCTATGCATCCAAATCCCAAAGCAGCCCCACACCAACCCAGAAACCAGGGGACAAGCTGGGTTCCACCTGTCCTGAAGGACAGACAGCCGTCTGTCTGTGCGCCTGTCCTGCCTGCCCCAGCCGCCCTGTGAAAGCCAGAGCTGTTTCAAACTTGCTTTTCACCTTTTTTTTTTTTTTTTCCCTCTTTTTCTCCCTTTCAAATTATTACTTTCAACCTCCCTGCTGGAGTGTATGAAAAAATGAACTAAACCCACCCAAAGCCAACAGGGGAACAGGTTTTAAATCCTTCATCCTCCCAAAATCACCTGCTCACCCCCACCAGGGGCCCCAAAATTGCCCCTGTCTAAGTATTTTGGGGGTTTATTAAATCCTTTGGCACGAGAGAAATGGCTCCGCTGCAGAGAACAGAGAAACTTGGTGCATGCAAAGCGGTGTGGAAGACACCGCTTGGTGCCATCCCGCTGCAAAAAAAAAAAAAAAAAAAAATGCTCAATTTTTATTCAAAGTGGAGAGCCAGAGGAGAGCAGAGGAAGGCTGAACCGCACCGGCGGGGATGCCGAGCCCGTCCCGGTGGCATCTGGGTGGCGGGACATACACACACACAGAGACACACAGACACAACGCCGTGTGCCGGGGCTGCGGCGAGGACACGGCGGGGTGTTTGGGAGGTCAGCGGGCGCCGCTGCCAGCCAGCGGCACGGGCCGGCCAAGAGGCAGGAGGCAGCTTGGCTGCCAGCCCCGCGCCGCGCCGGTGGAGCCAGGCCAGCCCCGGCACTCGGCTTGTGGTTTTCCTCCTCTGGCAAGAGCCCTGGGGATCCTCCGTCGGGACGGTGGGGTTGGGGGGCACCGCCGGGGAGGGGAAGCCCTGAGCATCCCTGAGCGCAGAAGATCCTACAATAACAAACCGGCCCGGCCGGTGTCACCAAAGGGCTTTGCCGGGGAAGGAAATGCTGCCCGAATCACACACACACACCTCCCGCCCAGGGATTGATGCTCCCCCGCCTCGCCTCACCGCACCCCAAGAGACAGCAAACCCCCCTCCTGATCCCAAACCACCGCCACGGTCCTCAGGTACCAGCAGGGGGGATGCCGGAGAGGAGCCGAACGGTGTGGATGCCCTAAATCCACACTCAACGCACCCGAAAATGAAAAATAAAGGAAATGTGGGAAGCCCGAGCGCCGAGCCG